ATTTAAATCAAATTAATGCAATTAGCGAATTATTTACTTCTTTTTAGCGTAGCATGTTCATCAGTATTGCAAATAAATCCTCTCTACGATTTCATTGATGATAATGAACTCTTTATTACATTAAATTTCTGTACCGAATGATGATCAATTATAGTTAATAGCAAACCGTCTATTAATATATTAGGGATAATTATGATTATTAAAGATATTTTGAAAATATAAAATCTATAATAAAATAAGGTATGAAGAAACCTTATTGATAGTTCTCTTTATTTGTCTTTAAAGTTATCAATTATGAATGGAGAAAATATTCCTTGAGAATATTATTACTGTGTTTTTCTAGTTTCAAGGTTGCATAATTATTATTTGAACTCCAACCGTGATAATTATGGACGTCATATCTCTCCGGGATATCATTACATCAACCTTTTTTAAGCATTTAATATATTTAACAAGACTAATAGTGTTATAATTAATGCCTTCCTTGTTACAAATAAACTAAATCGTTGCCATCTAATTTGTTTCATACTTAAAATAGATTAATGGAATCAAATTGATTCAACGTTTATTAAAGGTAGACTTTGCAGAAATATTCTATCATCAAGATCATGTTATTGAACTTTATCTTACTATTTCTACTTTATTACTAAAAATTCAGTATTGTAATTCAATCAGAATCGCAAGGAATATAGAAAAAATTAAAGATTGAAAAATTGCATGAATTAAGCTCAATGTCTTATTCTAAGCCACGAATAATCATTGTGCTCTTTATACTGCTAGATCGCCTACTGAGCAGAGATCCAGATAATTGGCCTCTTACCGTCATGATCGTTTTACAATGCTTCGTTATCTGGCTGCAAAATTATTCTAAGATCTTCTTATGCCTTATTAATATAAAATAAGGGTTTAAATTCATCACAAAGCCATCACTTACTACAAGAAGATCATATTAAATTTCTATTAATCTACAGAATGATGACATTCAGTTATCTTCTGTCTGAAAGTTATATGTTCAATGTGTCTATACCTCATCAATCTAGATGTCAGAAATAGAATCTATTAAATCATGTGCTCTATAACTAGCCTCTTTAGTTTCTCATTAATTCCGATGTGAGAATTTAAGTGTTCCTGTTAAGCCAATACTTACTACTATTAGATGATATCAATACAATATACGAATCTATCAATGAATTATATGCTAATTCGCCGGCACTTTCCTTCTCATGTACATCATTGGGCCATCCTTTACGGTAAATAGACGATAGTAGGGCTATATTGATCTGTAAAATAATATATTGTTACACTTTCATCCAGATAAATTGCTAAATCTGCTCGCATATTATCATTCTACAGTAAAACGCATACATCATGATAATTTCATCGGTAAATAAGCCATATTAAGCCCGTATTGATTGCTTAAGTAACATCACGTTGTTATTTCCTATCCCAAAGAAATTTCCAGATCTACCTCAATTTCCAATCAATGTACGTGAAAGAATAAAGATGAATAGTATAGCTATAAGCTCTTGTGGATATATCATGTCAGTTGCTATTCATAAATCAAAGATGATTACGTGATCATCGTAATTAATTAGGATAACACTGATTAAGACAAGATCATACACCTTGACTTACGCTTATAGTGATTCAATTAAACCTTTCAAAATAATTCCAATCGTACAATCGTATTTTGTGCTGATTTTATTCATAGTAGATTAACATGTTGGTATATTTTTCTGCTTGTTTTATTTAAACAAAAGAAAAAAGATGTTATCTTCTCATTGAAGGATTGATGACGTCTATCTTAATTGTGGCTAACAATATATAAGAAAATACTTGTGGTTTACGCTACTAATCAATTTATCTCCATTAAAATAACACAACAACAAGAATGATTTTAGCTAATAGTGACATGTTAATGTAACGATTTCATGAAAAGGAAATAAAGCCATCTACAATTTTATTCCAATGGAGCTGTCGCATTAAACAAATGCCAATCAAACAAGTCGACGAATAAATATAGCCGATTGTTCTATTTCTTAATGTCCGCTTTGACCACTTTGATTACTTACATCGAAGATAGAAAGTCAGTATGCTATGTCATAATTAACCTATTTGAAATCATTGATTTATGAAAATAATAATTTATATTCACAATCTGTTCATTAAACTGTCTTAACTTCATTCACTGTATATAACTTGATTTACTTATAAAAAACAAAGGCACCTTTAAGCTAGTTTAGTGATTGTAGAGAAAAAATTCATTCAGGGTGTAGTTATATTGCAGTCAATAGTGGTTCAAAGTTGTTTATTAACGATAATATGATACAGAACTACAATATTGTATTTGTTTATCCATAACTATCATTCCTTTATCAGAATTGCCGATTATCATGTAATTGTTACGATAATCGACAGCAATCCAAGCAGAGTTGTAAACACTTTACTTCCTTCCAGAAGATAAAATCTTCAGCCCTAGCAAGATTAGGGGGAAAAGGAAGGTTATTTCTTTCAATTACTATTGATACAAATTAATTTCGTTACTCCCTAGATAAAGATCGAAATTGTTAGTCCAATTACGCATTATAATGACGTTAAAAGTAGTCTAGCAACTTGAATGATTGAGTCAACAACAGTAATAATAAATTTATGATATACCGGTAACTTTGTCCTCAATTGAATACAACTATCAAGATAAATTATATTTAAACTACGTAATTAGTACGATCAAAGAAATACGCTTAGTTCTCATTATTAATAGCAGTCTAAATTTTTTTCGGATAAGAACAAGCAGATTTGTAAATTTTTAACTATAATATAACGCTACAAATGATTAGTGATGCCATGGACTCCTAAAAATAGGCTTTTATTTAGTAGTCTATGTATTCCAATAAGTACAATATAACACCAAGCATTCCGTAAGAGTTATTTCTATAGTCAAGCCGAGGGAAGAGTAACTAATAATATTATTTTGTGAAATTATCAATCGTTTCCTTGTATTCAAAATATCATCATGCTGAATAATAATATAATTCAAGAATATTATTTCATTTCATTCGCAGAAACACTGAGAAATTTTAGCATTCCAATTGCAAAGGCGATAGTCCTTAAAGAAGATTTGAACTATAAATATTCACTGCTCAGTAGTAACAACGTGATACTTGTTTAATATATAACTGATTATCACAATTAATTCGTAATTGCGTACAAAGGTGGCATTATTAATTATTCAATCTCAATTGTGATTGATTTAAGAATGTGAATGAAATTTACCATCTCAACATGATAGATAACTAGAACGAGGATGTACGTAGACTTTCCAATCGAATATTTACGATTCTTCTTTGTATCCCTTGCTCTTTTTGACAAGGTTATTGGAGCCCTTAAAACATTTTCTAATGCTGAAATTGACAATAGAAAATATCCTCCTATAGACATTCGCTGTAAATTTAATTAACGCCAATGCTAAAAGTGTTTCACCATTCCTCTATAATTATAATTAGCTATTGTATAGTTTAAATCTGTCCTAAAATTGATTTTGCCCTTAAGATACACCTATGAATTAGCCCATCATTTTATTATTGCCACGTAATTATTATCTATGGTGCATATTGGTCAAGAAGTAAAAGCACAATAGCAACTTATAGCTAGACTATAGCTAAGACAGATGATTCATTCATTCTCTAAATGATGTTACGCGCAAATCTACTGAGCTATAATTATCGCCAGATAGATTAACTATAACTCCATAAGATGGCATAGAGATTTGATTGAACCCGATATATCACGACGTAACATAGCCTAAAATAATATAGTAACGACGTAAAAAATAAAATAAGTGTCCTCATTTATTCTATCTTATCGTACTTGCTTTCTTAGTTATTGTGAATAATTTCATTTCATGTACTTGATTGATATTCCTAAAATTCCATGTAATATGAAATAATTCATCATTCTCCTCTACCCTTTGATGTAATGATGTTGTGTCTGGACATTGAATTAGCACATGATCTTATGAATTGGCTAGACTGTGTCCTATTTTACATGTCCTCAGGCTATTCTACAGCATAGTATTTATGTCGACCATGATGATAATAACAACATTGGTCGATTTGGTACGTAAAATAGCGGACAAGAAGTTATTTGCATTTGAACATTCAACTTCTATATATCCATATTGTATTGATGAAAGTGTTATTATTGATAATCTTATTGACAACATCTAGTTTAAGAAAAATGAGTGACAAGCGCTGTTACATGGCTGATCTTTAATCCCTTCATTATCATATCGTGTTATGCATATTCATATGTCAATAATATGTTTATTCATTTGCCATCTGTTTGTTACGACTACTAATTGCCTATCTACAGTATTACAGCATAATTCATGATGGACAAAGTCACAAACACTATTCTTACTACATGTACTACGTAAGCTCAATCTTCAAATTCTGTTAATAGCATCATCGGTGAAGCTATACTAGCTCGCGCTTTTATTAATCGTTCTTTCTCTCTTAAGGAATCCAAGCTCCTAAAGATTAGGTTTGAATAGATATTACTTTCTCCTTCGAAAGCCTTTACAGGCCAGCTTTGTTATAGCTTTAATTGGTTCCGGCTAAATCATATAATTATAGTTGCATCAGTTTAACTTAACATCCAGACTATAAGAATCACGACAAACTATCACTACTGCATATCCGGGTAGGCAGTTAAGGAAGCAATGAATGGAACCTAGCCAGAAGAAAAAATGACCACCTATAGCTGCATATAACAGCAGAGTTTCGGCCAAAGCGAATATAACAAACATCCTTATGTATTAATAATATTATCAATTCATCTTCATTTCATTGAGTAGTTTCTGTTGCTAATAATCGCGTGAACATTCCTGTGAGAAAATAAGACCGCAGTTATTGCAACAGTCAGCCATTTCACCATCTAATAGTCGAGATTGGAGGATCTTAGGGGCTTCTCTTTCTATCGCTAGATCACTCCCTACTAACATGAGCTACTGCATGGTTATTAGCGGTAGAGTTGTGATGGTAACAGCGCGCTTTTGTAAAAGTTCTCCATGAAGATAATATTTTCTAATCTTTGCAGCTTACGCATGAATTAATTTATATGCTATATTCAGAGTACTGTATGATGCTCTCTACTCCCTAGAATATCTACTGTACTTGTTCCACATCAAAACAAGGACAATATCAGACTATAAGTCATTTAGCTACATAATCACTAGAACCTATCTATTAAGTTAATGACCATTTCTAGAACGGCAATTTACTACTTCAGTAGCTGCTAGAGCTTGCGTGAGTAATATTAAGCAATTAATTTATACTCGTAAAGCTCGATTAGATGCGCACTTTCTTTCATATGAGTATTACGAGTATATACAGTAACAGTATATCTGGCTAACAAATTTGAGAACTGGATCATGAGCTACCCCACCCGTCTGCAATAATAAGATCCAATCTGACATAACCAACCAAATTTCACTGCATTTGCATAGCAATGATAGCATAACGAGGACTTTATATACTCGTATACTAGGCTTCGACTCTTACATGCAAAAGGTATATTAAGGTACCATAATAGCGAGACCAGCAGCTCTTGCTAGTAAAATCTTGTCAAGATTGGCAAGTTGAAGTAGGATAAGCTTAATATCAAGTTATAACGCAACGATATTGAGCATACAACAATCTCTAGCTTGATATGAAATAAACGTTATCAAAGCTAGCTTTGGCCTTAATGGTAACGAAATACTGTTTGCTTTTAGCCAGATTGAAAAGTAGATTAGGCGAAAAAAAATGCTACAGATTTCAAAGAATAAAATAGTAATATCGTCAAGCTAATTTCAACCCATTGCACGTAGCAGAGTAAAGAAAAAATGTTTTAATTTCCCATTCTTATTGAAGATTGATCAGACGAATACAAATAGTGTGCAATTGGCTGCCTTTTCGACTTTATTGGACTGAACAATATTAAGGAAAAGAAAGCCGAAGAGTCATCTTACCCTTGGCAAAGGTTTAGCTAGCCTATACAATGACCAACGTGGTTACATTCTGGATAAACTGCAACATTTACACAGGCTGAATTGGATCGGCAGCGATGAAGCATTAAATGATTATAAGCAACAAGTGACCGATACCAACGATGCTCATGCACACTATAAAATGGGTTTGATCTATCGATGGGGATATAGTTCAGAAGGTCAAAATTTAGTCAAAGTAATCAAGAATTTGAAGCTGCAGCTAATCTCGGTCATCCTGTAGCTCGGTTTTGCAAATGGGAATTAATTAGTGCTGAAGATGATTTTGAAGACGAGAAGCATGGCGAATTAAAAGTTGTAAAAATTACAGCCAATGACTTTATGGTAAGTTCCGAGATTATCTGAAATGTATTATACAAGTTGAAGAATTATCGCCTGTTAACCGCGAATTATGGACAAATTGGCGTTTTTATCCGAAATGGAGAAATATATTAAAGTGATTATAGACGAGGCCAAAGGTATCATTGATAATCCTGACAATTATAGCTCAGAAAAGGTTGCATCGAGTTACATTCTCTTGGCAATAGTCAGTATCAACATGGTCCAGTACGATGAAAACATTTTGCGTGATGTTGATGAAGAGAATCTGCCCAATTACCGGAAAGCAAAGGAGTATCTTGAAGCCGCTAGTAAATTAGGGGACGGACGAGCTGATTAGTACTTAGGTTGGCTAATATATCGATGGGCTCGTGCTACAAAAACAAATAGAGCCAAGCGCAATTACTACACTAAGAAAGCTGCTTCCCGTGGACATTCTATCTCGCTCTATCTTAGCGTTACTTTCCAGAGTAAGAATAGATTTATATACCATTCAACAATGCTTGCGATGACTAGATCGTTCAAATTTAAAATTTAAATGTATCTACTTTGCAAAAGCGTTAGTGCATATGGCTGTCGATATTGCACGAATGCAAGAACCCGTTAAATACTCCGACTCAGAAAGTCATCCTAAAATGATACATCAATATTTATTAAAAGCTAACGTTTCTGTCGAATTAATTATACAAGCAAAACTACGGTGGCGGCGATAGTGGCACTGCTTTTGCTTTGGGTATTGTCTATGCTCATGGCATCGGTGTCGAAAAAGATCTCCAAAGGGCTGCTCATTTTTTCGCTAGAAATATTCTTGATGAGTGCCGACTTTATACTTATTCATCCTTGTATGAAATTGCTAAGTTACAGCATTAAAAACACATCGCATGTGATGATCCCCAGCTGAGCGAATTAATATATAAGCGAATTATTGAAAATGATCAAGAATTACACTGTCAAGGCCAGTATGGACTTGGAAATTATATAATCAGCAAGATAAAGTAGACCAAGCTAATGTTTGCTTTGAAAATGCTACTAATGAATCTTCATTACATATGCATCATCGTGCAAAGTGTTATCATAACAGTTGAGGCTGTCAACAAGATATAAAGGTAGTATATCAATGCTATAGAAACCAACTAGAAGAAATTGAAATTGGTTGGCAACGCTTCCCTTCTTACTTTTTTTGTTTATATCTAGCTATCAAAAGTGTCGATATCATTGATAAATTAGCTGCAGAATTAGAAAACGCAAGCAGTAATTTTAATAATAATGTTGAAGAGGGACGAAGGATCAGAAGACGTTGATGAAGATGAGAATGAAGACGAAGATGACCATGATGATGACGATGAAGATGATATAGAGAATTTTGCTCAAGCTATTGTTCAACTTCTTATGAGAGCTAAACCAACTTCCAGAATGACAGAAGACACTATCGACTTATTTCCTGAAACTTAATTAAAGACATAACTCCTCAACTAGAATACAATTACTATCTGGTTTATTCTACTCCTTCTACACTGAACATGAAAATAACAACAACCGTACTATTATAAAATTTCTTTACAACATTTTAGCCATTGAAACCTATAGTCTAGATCCGGTATTAGGACTTTGCTGCGAATTATTATCCAGGTTTCATATTCGCGCACGTTACAACTAGTAAATATAGTAATAGACTACCATGGACCTAACCTTTAATTGCATAAAAGCCATCTTTCTAACAATTACGCTATATACTTTTTAAAATTGATCTCTAATTCATTTAATATTTTTAAAGCTGGAGAAGTATAACCTGATATTTTAGTGTAATAGTCGTGCTTTCCTTTCCAACTATTGTAATGAATCCTATAGTTTCAACGTATACAAAACACTATGCTTGTATTCGTAAGTAACTTTGAACAAGTTGGTTACTAATTAAATCAAATGGGTTATTTCAACTCTGTATTTTACTCTTTATCACCAATTATAACCTAATCTAAATATGATATGTGGTTAATACGAGTATCTTTTCCAGAAATTTGTCTTTATTGGCACTGTAGCTAATCATATGCTATAAAAGATTAGCTCTTGAGAATGACCGATGTATTTCGTAACGATTTCATTGATCCTTTTGTAAATTTATTATATTATGATTATATTACAAATATTGATATCGTTAATGATACATGGTAATAAACATATTTAAAAATGTGAACGTAAGGCACCAGAAAAGAAGGATTTTTATGCCGTGTATTAAGTATCATTCTAGTGTATGAATATGTGTACGGTGCACTTTCACAATCTCTTCAGTATTTAATATGTCAAACTGGTTATATTTCATTACGATTATCATTGACAAGTATATAATAGTGTTAGTCATATAAAGCGGTATAGAGTTTTATGCTGAACCTGTTACTTTATAAATTTTAGATATCAAATTTAAATTTTCTAACCTCCAACCGGTCTAAGCTTCAATGAGATTATTTTAACCCTTCAATACTGTATGATGTCAAAGGCTAGCAGCCTAGAGCTTGTAGGCTATTGAATTTTACTTTAGTTCGTACGGTCAAAGTGCGTGGAAATACCTTTCGATTCTGTATCCAAGTCTATTGACTGCTAATTCAGTGAAAGCTAATGATATACGTTTACGTGAAGTACGCAAATTAATAACAGTATCTAATGAGGTACGAATGCATCCAATTGGTGATTTTAATTTAATTTAAACAGAAGTACGGTATTACTAAACAGTCATTTCATACTACGTATGCTGCATTATACAAATACCCGCAATACTTTAAAATTGCATAAATTGCATATTTTTTACATGACAAGCAGTAATCTAGCTCTCTATCAATGTTATATTAATTACACAGTTAATAACACATTCATAAAAGACTACTATTTTATTTATAACAGTCATATTACTTAATTGATTAGATATTACATCAGTAGTTAAAGATAATATTAAGCCATGTTGCAGGAAACGATCGTAAAATACCATCAATAAAACACTACAGATCATATTCTGTCGCGATTGGCAGTAACAAATAATGCTGATCAAAGTTGCACAATAGGGATATGAAATCGCCTAACGCGTTTTACCTCAAAATGTGGTAAAGAGGCAATATAAGTTTGCTAATAAATTAGCAATTAATCGAGAGCTAGCAACGACTATGCAGTCTATAATACAATGATACGTGTTGTGTATCGCTTATTCTATAATTTAATGTAAACCGTTAACAAATTTCTTAAATTACAAGCGAAAAGCGAAGAATTTTTATTTCAATAAAACTTCGATTTATTGACTGTAATCAGACAAAACAAACTCTTCGATTCAAGTAATAGTAATAGTATAAATCAAGCGACGATAGTTTAGTTTAATACACCCAATATCAAAGTATATGATTATTTACTTACAAATATATTCCTTCGTACGATATCTAAATAGTTGTTATATCTGCGCTTCACAAAATAATACTTTATCCATAAACCAAAGTGATATAAAGTATTTGGCAGATCTATCTACGTCTCGATATCGGACAAGAAGTCATTGTACCATGATTGTCAAGTATGCATAGTAACATACAGTGTTATACACATTAGGCATAACTTACTTTGCAAGTGTCTGTTATCCCAACAATCTAAATTCAAACGCTAAACAATATGTAACAATCTTATATCTTTATTCTGATTCCACATCGCCCTTCTCAATTCTATCAATAAAATGGCTAAGAGAACGTGCAACTTCAGGTGATCTCGACTTTTTATCATCAAGCCATTCCTTGAAGGTAGCTTCATTAATACTTTCAAAATCGTATAAACTGTTAAAAATTTTTGCTAGAAGATCTGCATTGATAGTATGAAATTACCATTAGCAATTTTTATAACAACCAATTTTGATACTTCAAGGCAACATAAACATAACGTTACCTGGCGGGTGGCCTAAACCGGACACAAATTCTTCTATACGACTCAAACAAGCAAGTCCACCTTTGTTAGTATCGTAAAATTTCTTTAATACAGAGTCGAGCACAACAATATTCTTCTTTAATTTTCCTTCATCGCAATTATTTCCTGCCAATTGCAGCGACAATAATGTGACATCAATAATTAAAACAGCAGAAACAATTTATTACACAAATGAATCCAAAATAAATCAAATCGGTAAAGACAACCAACCTTTAACACAACTGCGGCAAATTGCAATCGTGGCTTTATGCAATAAATCTTCCAATTGATGAGTAATTGCGTACTAATTGATCAAGATAATTAATTAGATAATTACTTTCTAATGCGTTATGCTAATGCACGTGTAAATACAATACGAAAATATTGTTCATCAATACCGTGTTCAATAATTGATCCATTTGCTGGACTGCGGTATCATTTCCATTCTCAAGCATACGTAGAATTTCATCTTCTATCTCTTCAGAACTGATTTTAGGTTTGATCAGAAATTCAAGACCCTACGCATTCATGATAATGAAATACAAATTAATCTCCACATATTTCGTAAAGTTAATTTTATTGCATCTAAACATACGTTATCACGCAATACTTTCGCGCTATCCAGGCTTGTGAAATCAGAAACAGAAACACCACTATCTGCCCATACCTTGCTAACAAAATCTACGCCCTATATATTTGTATGCAATCGTTCTGAATTCAGTAACTTTGTATTGCCTACCATACCATTTCACTTCAAATGAGAATAATGTACCTTAATATCCTTGATGTTGACTAAGATTTCACAAATCAATTTATGGCCATTACAACTTGCAATTACATTGTTCTTTGCAATTTTAATTAATTGTTGTAATGAAACACAACTTGGTATTAACGGCGAAAACAACTTCGCTAAATACCTATAAATCAGTGGAACATCAATTGCCACATCCGTAGCAACATCTAGGATACTCACAAATCTATGATGCAAGATAACAATAAATAATTAAATAACTGATGAGAAACACCGTACTCTATAAGAATCGGTAAGAGGCAAAGAAATTAACTTACGCCTTTGAATAGTCATCAGACGGTATAATTGAATCTTCGAATAAGACCTGCAGCAACAAAGAAGCAGCCTTCTGATCCTCATCCTTCTTATCAAGAACGTGGTTAACAAGTTTATCTACAAAATTCGATTTATCGCTCAATTCTTGAACAGGACCCTACAATTAAAAGTAATACTTGCATTAGATTCCTAAAAATTTCTGAGAAGGAAACAATTGCTGGAATTTTGAGCTAATACCTTAAAATCACCATTATTACGGTATTCTTCAAAAACTTCTTCTACAATAGACAATAATCTATCTGATGATACTTCAGTTAACTTATTGTTCTCTTTAATATTCGCATTATCACGTTTTCTGTCATGGGAAATCGCGCTGCGTTCTTTCATAATACCACTACAGAAAGTACATCACCGAAATGTTAAATGATTTAAATACACAATAATATAAATAATCATAGATATACCTAGTCGACCCTTGGGCTTTATAGTGTTTGGAATGAAGATCTTTCGATTGACTGTAAGAGATTTTTTACTGATTTAGATACTTCGATCCATCAACAGATAAATTTATTTTGATTATCTATTTCGATTTAGGATACTAACTTCGTACGTGGCGAACCTCCGGAATTGTTAGCAGTCTTTTTGATCCAGCTTGGGGGTCCTAACGTTATAGCTTCATCTTTTTTGTTTGCAGCTTCCATAAACTTAGAAACATTTATTTCAGATCTATCCATTCGCTGTCGGCTTGCACCATAATTTTGTCTTCTATCGTCCATGTCATTCCCTCGACCTGATTTATTGTAATAAAAGAGTTCTGTATCGTACAATTTCCATCATACACGATGACAAATACAAGAAAAACCATTGAGCTAACCTCTATTTCTAGGCATGTTTTTCTCTCTAGGCTGGTGCGCACGCAGTTGTTCTTCTTGCATTGCAGCTTCTTTTTCAACTTCACGATGAATTTCATCAATTTTCTTAGGATTGTTATCTGCCCTTCTAGGCACCCAATTATTCTAGAAATAAAGCAAGGTTCTTTTTATAACTAGGCAATATTTGAGGTCGTAATCTACGAATAGAGTATACCTGTCTTAAGTCAATTACATCTTGAATCATGAATCGCATGCGAGCACAAATCCTATCTTTCTTCTGCGTTAATTTTTTCAATCGGTCAAAATATTGATCCATCCTATCTGCTATATCAGGCCTATCGAGAAGTTTTCCAACGCTTGTCATAAAGCCACATAAGCTTTCCAAAGAATCTTCATCACTGTTATGAAATAATTGTACAAGGCAATCTTGATGTATAATATTCTCCTTAAGCATCTACAATGATGAAGATTATATTATAAGCACTTTAATATAATAATCTATTGACCGAAAGGATAGAATACCGATACGCAATTTATACGTAAATTTACCCCTAATTTAAATAGCTCTCCAATAAATTTAACATTTCCAAGTGATCGCTTTCTTGCTTTAATTTCTTCTATGTCCAATTCTTCCTGTACCCGACGCTTCTCTTCATTCTATGATTTTAAAATAGTAGCTCCAATTACTATAATATTTGATAATATGTGCTGTATAATGTGATCGTAAAGACATACCGTGTTGCATTCGGCTAGTCTTTTTTCTTTTCGCTCCGCTTTATTGCTATCGAAACTTTTAGTTTTGCTAAATTCTGCTTGACACTTATTCAAGATCAATCGTCTTAATGTTACATTTTTAGATTTGCCGGATAATCCATCCGCTCCTTTTTGTATTGAGGTCTGTAAAACAGAATAGAAGCTTCTACAATGAGCAAATGACCTACAAATTATACCTCTATCAAAAACGTTTGATTTGTCATACATCCTGTAATAGCAGGCAGAGTTGAGCATAGCAGCGATTAAAGCTTGGTTCAGCAATTGCCTAAAAGTGTGGAAATTCACGACGATTAAATGCTACGTAATATCATCTAAAACATCAGCAGAATATTAGCACCTTTTCAAAGATTAGGTCTATGGCACCCATTAATCTTGCTTCATTATCAATCGTCAATTCTTTAAAATTCCCAACCAAGACATCGAACTTTTGAGGCGTTAATTTATTTAAAATAGCTTTAACCTTATTTAGAATAATCTATAAAAATTTAAAAACGGCATACATAAGCTTTCTGAGACAGAAAATACTGCTAGAGAAAAACAGTCTGTTTACTTTATCTTCGTCACGTTCTTCGCTAGGTCTCTGCCATTTATTGTCTGCTTTCTTGAGCGTAATATTAGTAGAGATACTATGATCAATTATTTTTTTGGATCCTCGTTGACTCCTTCCTTTACCGGAGCCCTGATGTGACAATCATGTGATAAATAAGCAAAATTGCTTTAAGATGTAGGTCTATATTGAATGAAACTTACACTTGATTTTTGACGGCTGTATGGCGGAAGGACGAAATCGGCGGGATGCCTGTAAACAAATTGATAAATAGCTTTACTAAATAGAAAATGAAGCATGTTATTTTTAATGTTAGAATTACAAGATAAAACAATCATTTTTAACCTTAACACATCGCCAATATTGCTTCCCTACAAATAATAGTAAATAGTAATTATTAGCAAAAAAGTGGTTATAAATGCTATAACATATTTCTACTGTAAATTAGGTTAACGTCATTAACAAAATTACCTCTTTTAGCACACATTCGACGTTCGGTAAGTCAGGTCGAGCTTGGGCCGGTCCCATAGCTCGAAACTTTAGTAGGAATTCACGATCATAGTGACGATTACCTATGGAAATTGTTTATCAGTAATTATGATTGAACATAAAATTCTCCACAGTTTCACAAGCAAAGGTACTAGAACCCTTTCCTTTCAGTGGATAAAAAAGTAAGTTTTGCTGGTAAAGCAACCTTAATTAATTACCTTCATCGCTTTCTTCATTCTGTTCTAAGCTATCGTCATCAGACTGACTTTGATCATCATTAGTATCCGACTTTTGTTCATCTTCCATAGTTGGCTCCTGATTCTTAATTTCAATAAACGATTCAGTTCCCTTCTCTTCTGTTAATACTGGCTAAAAATTTTAAAACAATTTCAATTTTCAATGCCGCGTTCGCATATTAATAGGCAGTGCTAGATTCTTAACTACCTCGTCCTTTTTAATATTTTCTGAATCAGCTTCCGGTTTATGTAAACTCTCTTTAGAGGGCTTCGGTTTTTGCTCTTCCTCTACAACCGCTTGAGCGTTCTTACTTCCGTCTTCTGCAGGTGCTACGTAACATTTGATTTATTAATATATGCCATTCATTTACCCTTCTTCGTAATAAGTACAATCTCACCTGATGAATCGTTGCTTACAACAACTTCTTCAATCAACTCAGCTTTCTTATCATCAGTATTGTCTACCTGCATCTCGCTAATCCCGTCAGTTACATCTTTCCGATCAACTTTCACTACTTCATTTTCGTAATTATCTGATGCCATATTTGGTTGATCAATTATATTATCTAAATTGGAACTATCGTTAGGTTCAACTTTTGTAGCGTCATCCTCTATTTCAGTTTTAGGCACAGGCACTTTGCCACTTTCTGATGTCGTTGGTAGTTCATCAGCATTTGCACTACTGTCGTCACTACTTTTAATTGACTTCTGAAGTTGTATTTCTTTGTCTTGTTCTGTTTTGGACACTTCTTTGTTGGAAGCTGTGGTACTATTAGAAATAACATCATGACTATCATTTATCGAGCCTTTTGCTTTTGATTGATAGCTTCGGCGATCATTATTATCGGCTTGCTTCGTATGCATAATAGAACGTTCGATGTTACTATCGAAATTGTTCGATTGAGTAGTATCATTTACATTCACAGCTTCCTTAGTGTTAGGATCGACAATCGTTAAGGCATGGCTTTTCTTTTTCTTTGGTGGTGCCTTCATTGGATTATTCATATTTTGTGATTCCGCTTGATGAGGCATAGTTTGAACTGGTGTGGTTCTATTTTGTATACTAGAGCGATCATGCATCGTCGCGAAGGCCATATTTGCAGGCTGCGACATAGCGACGTTCATTTGCGTGTTGTACCCAGGGTTGCTCATACCTTGATTACCAACATAAGTGTTCATAAGGTTAAAATTTTGATGTCCATAGGCCGGCCTATTTTGCATTACCTAATATATCATTAAAAAAGTAAAAATATAGTTTATAGCCTAATTTTGTACAGCCATACTTAAGGTGGTTCATTAATGCATTTTTTGTTCGTAATTCTGTGCTAAAGTTTACAATATAGCTCCGTAAACTTAAGTAAGATAATTTAGTCATCAAGCACACTTAATAACTGACAAAATTCAAAGAAATATAAAACATACTTCCTCTATACGGTATTTTTCCCTACAATATTAAAGTATTGATCGATTGTAATATTTCCGCTATTGCATTGATGAAGTTTGATACATTTTTACTGACTACATGTAACATTCACTTAAAAAAACTGTTACTAAAGCACACGTCTATAACGTACCATGTTGTTGTTGTCATACGCTGGGTAAGGTGACTGAACAGACTGCTGTGGAAATGAATACAAAACCCCAGCAGGCGGATAGCGAGGCATTTCAGCGGATCGACTAGTTGTCATTAATTGCCCGCGATTTTGTAGTTTATAAGCACCAGAGCCATGCTGAGTATTACCGGTAGGCATATAGGGCTGCTGGGACATCTGAATATATCAGCAAAGAATTGTGAAGTTATTACATGAAATATTCGACAATTTTGATAACCGACATCAAATTATACAGCTTAGCAAATAATAGCTGATCAAGTTACTGATGCAATTTTTCAAATATAGAAAAAAAATGCAAAGCGGATGATTAATTAATCCGTCTAGATAATGTAGTACATGCTGTAACTTTATCATCCTGCTGATTGGTGATCAGGCATGCAGATAAAACCAATCAAACTTACACGTTGTTGGTCATATGGTCTTCTATGTGAATTACTGTGGTCATCACGTCCTAGAATAGTAGAAACGGATCAATTAAAAATTGTGTAAATTGTGTTTCTAGAGTAGTCAGGTGAAAAAAAGTATAAGAACAAATTCATAAAACATGCCCAGGTGCATATGTACCCCTTGAAATGCATGACTACTGCACGAAAACTGTTATGGCGGATATTTATCAACCACGATATACAGTACTTGTACATCGTAAAAGAAATCAACGACAACAATTATAATCAATGTTATAGTAGACTTTAAACTTTTGATTACGACTTGATAGTAAGAAGATTGATAAATAAGACGTTAATGGCTTATAACTATGAGGTAAAGGAAGCAATTTTACTACTAGTTTTAATTATGGATGTCTGTTAACAGACATCGTTCCTAACATAAATTTTACTACGATACGTATAGAAAGAAGTCATCATCAATTGTATTCCACTGAATTATTTAACAAACAAGAATCGATCCGAGGAAAAAAGCTTTTTTCTACCGATTTCAAGTAAAAAAAGTTTTCAAGTTGAACTTACTTGGATAGTGTGGAGCCCCACTTTGACAATGTCGAATAAAATTTTAGTTAAGGCAGAATAACGAAACTATTTTAATAAAACAAGGTAGACGACAACGATCTTAAATTTCGAATCAATTAAAGCACATTTTATGACAATGGCCGGTTAATTCAATGAATATCCTACGCCATACTAAACGAAGTAACTTGTCGTGAAACTACACCGGTGCATTGTATTTTCATAGGTAAGCTTATGCGGCCTAAAATCTACGTCGTAGCATAGAGCTATTGAAAACTTCACTGTAGTATCAATCTATAAATATTTTAACTAGATAGAGATGATCAATAAGACTGTATAGCTAAGTACAGTCCGCTGTGAAGGCGTAAAAAGAAATCAGTACCAATATTCTAGTTATTAAATTACACCCATAGTTGAAGGCAGATTCTATATTGAGTGCACGACATGCTACTATAGGACATGTCTGTGAAATGGCTTTAAGGTATAATTAGTACATGACCAAATGATATAGCATAATGTTACAGAAATACTACGAATAAGCAGATCCTAAATTAATATTACACAGTACTATTGTAAAAAAAAAGATACGATTGACTTCCTCGGGCTGGTTTATTTTTCTGACTATATTGGCTGAAACTCGGAGTAGTCATTACTGACTTGAAAGGCAATCCAAGATTAAAATACTATCGATTAATCCTCGGACCCTATTAGCAATGAGAACCAATATATCTTAAAAATACATAATTTAGATGTCTTGGAACTGAAAGAATTGAACTTTTAGTGAATTAGATGATCGATCACATATGATTCTACGCGGATAACATAGTGATGTTCAATATGGCTAACCTTGCGAGTCCCAATGTAAAGGATGAGAGAAACGCAGAATCTTACAACCCTTGTAGAAAGCTGAAAGTGACGTCATGTAGTGCTCGTGCGCAGCGCAGTATCGTTCGACTGCACTAGCAGGGTAACTAAACAATTTTGAAATTCCAGACATTGTACAGTACAGTACAGTACTGTACGTTACTGCTAGTACTGTACATTGTGCAGTTTGGTACTACAGTACTGCGCGGGGTAGCTTACTGTACTGTACAGTGTACAGTTCATGACAAGTAAAACTGGCCCACTTTACCCCGGACCCTAATAAAAGAGAGAGTTTGAACAGTATCTACCAGAGGTTTTTCTACCTGTCTGTTTGACAATAGCCAAGATCTCACGATATGACTATGTCACAATGACGGAGTAAAAACGGGAGGAGTCTTGTTAGTCCTGTCTGAAGGACTATTGGACCGAATAATAATATATCAGAGATATCCCCCCTAATTTAAATTTAATTTCAGTTTATTTATTTAATAATGAACAATTGAGTTCACTTCATGTAAATCTCTCTCCCGTTGGCATGATTACAGTACGTTAGTGCTCTACAGTACTGACTTCCTGTTGCACTGGTTGGCACGACGCCACAGCGACAGCAACGAATTTGAATGGAGCCAATGTCGCGAAGTGAATTAATCAATCACTAGTACTGTAGACTGTGTACTGTAGTGTAGATCAATCTGCTACATGCAAAAATTAATTAATTTGCAGTTTTATTTTACTACACCAGCCATGCATTGCTGGCTATTGACAGTGGACTGTACACTCTGATCTTTATGATACTATACAGTACTGTAAGGTGTGACTCATCATAAACAGACCGACAACAACCAACCTACCTGGCGCGGTGCTATTGTACCTGGCACGGTGCCATTCTTCTTTCCAAATCACTGTAAAATACTGTACAGTACAGTACTGTACAGTAGTACAGCAGTTGTATAGGAAAGCAGTTTTGCTGCGTCAAGCTGTGCACTAACTATAGGCCAGTCCTGGCCAGTTCGGGCCAGACCGAGCCAGACCGGGGCGGGCCGAAGATTGACGTTGTAACAGTGTACGTACAGTACGCACGGAGCACCCATCAGCAGCCATGGCACAGTTACTACAGTACAGACTGTATACTGTACAGTAGGGTACAGTAACACCGAGTAATATACTGTACATGAAGGGGCTGCCGTATCCGCTACACCCTACAGTATAAAAGCTCCAATTCTACAATATACTGTACTGTACAGTACACACAACACAGTGCAACAGACTTACGCATGCTCAGCAACAGTAGTACTGTATAATGTATATGCCATCATATACAATATGTCACACATTATACAGTACTACATATAGGCCAGTACACCGTCTAAAACGTAATAATAAATAAATAAAATGGCATCGACTTACGCTAAAGCAACCCTCGCATTAAGCTGATTTTGGTTTCCCGAAGCCCAGTTCGCCGCTCTTAATGGCGTCATCAGGACTAAAGTTGGATTTGCTGGGGGCAAGACCTTAAATCCAACTTATTACAATTTGTAAGGATAATTGCAGCAAAGTACACTAAATACTGTACAATCAATATTATTGGAATCATGATAGCATCAAGAAAAGTTACCGGCGAAATACTCGTACATTAAATTCGCTGCTGTTATTGTGATGATTCATACAGTAATCATACTTGATTTACACCCATTTTCATAGGATTAAAAAGAAGCGGCCATTTAATGCAGAATTGTATGAAACATTCTTCATTACCTATGATACTTTTCGTTTAAATTATTCATTCGTAAAGGGAATAGTAATGGAAAGTGCGTTATACACTTATCTCCAGCTCTAATCAACACGCCCTTGGGTCCGAGTGCTATACTACAGTACTGTACTGGTAAAGCGTTGCACGAAATGTGCTGAGTTTTCGGTGAATTAATTATAGTTATGACCCTCTCCTTTTTCATGTACATATCGACCGAGTATTCTATTTCGTACAGTAGTAGTTCGACTCTGCTATTTACAAATAAGGTCAGCCATCGATTCAGATCATATCAGACCAAGTCGTACAGTAGACTAGATTTCGTATCGGTTTATCGAACTCAGTCTACGACATAACTGAGAATATTTTAGCTTTCGCTATGTGTACTGTATATTGTTATCGATATAACATATACGAGAATATACGTACAGCATAACAAAAGTAGTCTATGGTATAATGTACGAGTATTCTGTGGGTAGGCCTTAGTCCTATATTTTAAGATAACCGTTGCAGTTTGTAACATGTACAATTTCAATAATTGAATGATATTCTGTCTATACTTATATGTGGCTTGTTGTCGCTTGTAACTTGATGCTGAAGCTATTTTGTATACGCTGATATTGCATGATTAGGGGCGATCATACCGAGACCATCCAAATTGAATATGATCCTAATGTTATCTCATACGAAGAATTACTGACAAAGTTTTGGACATCCCACAATCCCACCAGCAAGAGAAGCAATCAGTATATGTCCGCAATATTTTATCATGATGCTAAGCAAGAAGCAGCAGCAAAGCGATCAATGGCTGACCGCCAAAAACACGTCTACCGCAAAATTGTCACCGTAATACAACCTGCTGGCAAATTTTTCCTTGCAGAGAAGTATGTACTGTATTACTGCAAGTGTGTATTCTCTACAGCCTGTCAAATATGAATCATTTGTCATAAGTTGACCAGCAAAAGAAACAAAAAATGTTAGAGAGTTTTAGCTGCAGTATTAAACTATTAGTCCGAAATTCCATATCTGAAGTGAATAAGATTACGGCTATCACTGAATCAGTCATCACTACTGAATATCGGCGATCGCTAGTCAATATCATAGTTAGATTGAATTTCAGTATCACTAGTGCAAACTCCCGTCGCTTTGCTGACGGTTTACGATAATGTGCTCATTTAACAGATAGTGTTACCATTTGTCGTAGACCTGTCAGAGGTTCAGTAACTTTATACCGTGTACTGTGTAGTAGTAGAGTGTATGACATATACTGATATACATACCGCATTTCTCTAATCTTACAGTAACTCTCCATTTTTAGCTATGTGGAACACTCTTACCCACTCATTCATACTGTATAATATATATATTTATATATAATTTTAGTGCAAGCTCCCGTCGCTTTACTGACGGTTTACGATAATGTGCTCATTTAACAGAGGTTCAGTAACTTTATACCGTACCGTGTACTGTCTGCTGTAATGTTAGTGAGTATTTATGAGATGCTGGAAATCCTCACATACGATATATCGCGAGTATATTGTACGTCGAGTTAAAAATTATTATACGCTTATTAACTTTCAATTAAGATAATACTCGTAGTAAATATACTTTTGATTACTGGTGGATAAGTAATAGGTAGTACATTACAGTTCATCAGTGCAGTAAACAGTAAAATTGAACACCCATTTGAATGGCTTGAATCAATGAAGATTAATTTATTTCATTACGACTACAGTACTGTGACAAAAAAGTAACTGGTAGGCATGTACTGTATCTTTACTTGCTGTAATCATATTAATTATGTAATAGAGTCTGTACATTCTATTTATAGTTATGCATGTCACTTAAGCACAAATATTAGAAATTACGCTATATCCTCATTTTTCGTTTTATTATTATCATTTTTAGCTACCATCAAAAATATCTCTTCAGACAAAATCGTGACCTTTCAAAGCTGCTTAAATTATCTGATCAAGACATAATTTCCTCGCCACTTGTTGCTAAATTAAATGCTGTGTGTGGTAACTACTTATCAACTGAAGAACTCAAGACAGCTATTAGTTTAAATCCCAAACTTTACGACTTATCGTCAAGTATCCTGGATAAATTATCTGCACAATTAGAAAATAGATCTTCGCGATCTTTCTGCTCTTACTAGCTCAGTACTGTCCCTAAGCCATTGATGTATTCGTTGGAGGTAACAACATATTCTGGATATATGAAATGTGTAAACAATTTTCGCTTCCTACCGATGGTGATTATCATATACTCGTATGCTATATTTATGTGCACTTTAGGACTGCAACATAATCCTTACAATAAATAAGAGGCGTAATACCCTTCTGTATGTATGACTGGCGTTAAGAGTAAGCCTACAGAAATGGAACAATGACAGTGTATGGTAGAAAACGTATATGGATGCCAAACACTTGAAAATTATTCTTTCCGTGGTTTATTAATGACGTATTAAGAATAGTTATTTCGCACGCTTCTTGCGAGAGATTTAACAGCGTTCTTGGTTAGTAGTTTTGCATTATTACTCTCTGCGATTTCTTCTACTCGGTATGACGCATTAAACGATTTTACGTCTCATAACTAAGATAACTTTATAAATTCTTATAAACCGAAATCAAAGGCATTCATGTATTCATATGGTGTAGCCTTAAAATTATGCACATATGCGTAATACGATGAGTGGAGGATATCATGCATAAATTATAAATACTACTCTAAATAAATTCAATGATAGAAAGTTAAGAAATCACTGACATTCGTTGTTCTTGACCAACTTAATTAAACACAACACGGAAATGAAATATTTTCTTCGGTACGCCTATTTCCTAACTGCCGGTATATCGTCGATCGAACCTAATACAGTACACCTAAAGGAAATCTAATAGAAATCATTTCGTTTCTGTCTGTTTCTACTTTCAATTTTCGTTATGCACAGGAACCTATACCTAGTTAAGCAGTGTTATTAGACTAAATAATATAATTATAGCAATTTTTACTGTACCAAAAACTACGGTTCTATAGTACAATAATCTCCGGTTACACGAACTGAATTTTTTAACTCAAGTTAGGACCCTAATAGAGCACTAGTTCTATCTTACTAAATGTAAAAACTCAGTCATAAACTAAGAATACTTTACCACTATGTCAAGCCGTTAACAGTCATTATTACAGTCCTAACTCTAGGAACAGCTACAGTGGTTAGTAACATCCTTAACTTTCGTGAACAGTAAACAACGGCTGTAGTCTGTGAAATAAATAGAGCAACACCAGTGAAGAGAAGCAATAATGTATGAGAACAACATTCCAAGATTTAATGGTATCGTCTCATTTATAAATTCGAACAATCATATTTATCAATTGCATAAAGCAAATTGAAAATTTAAATTTAAAATTTAAGAGCCAGTTGAGAAAAGAGCGACAAGACCAGCAGCAACAGCAGTGGATAAAATATAATTGCTAAAATAACGTTAAGGAATAAGTATTGTACTTAATCGAAAATATAAACGCTGTACATAAAATTTCTATACTACTATCGAATAGAGTAATAAACAAACCCATACCCTTACAATTGATTAAATTACTATATGAAAGGATACGATTGAGGGCTGAAATTTCGTAAAATGTAGAAGGAAGCTCCAATCAAAAGTAGCATGTAAAGTACATTGTTGTAAAAGATGGAAAAGGCCGTGGCTTCATAATCGGCAACTTGATTCTTCTTCCATAAAACTCTGAAAAATTTAATGATGCTTTCTAAATTCCGAAACGACTCTTCAGTAACGCAAAAGCTCATATGAAAATTATTCACTGATATCTCATATTTAAGCCACCAAACAATTATACTAAGGAAAGGTAGGCGAAACGCTAATGCAGAACTAACCTCTCATCTCTTTCCTTCTTATTGATCTTTTTCCCATTGGCAGAATTGTTGAGTTGATTGCTTACTTCTCTTGTTACACCTTCGTCGCGACTAACAGCGATTCTATCAAGAAATAAAGTCGTCTAAATTACTACAGCCAGGGATTTTTTTTTCTCTTAGAAACCCCTGCTACAGCATTATATTAAATAGATTTGTATTCAAAAACATTGACTATGGTATAGTGCAGATAGCAGCTATAAACTTATGAAATTCAAAACCAAATAGATAGTAACTTGCAGTCGATACCATATTTTACGATTTAAACGCAAACTTGATGAAATAATATTCATACTTGTGTTTCAAATTGAATTTAACGTTCTTGTAAGCAAAAGCCACCATATAAGTGCTGACTGCTGCGCCTAGAACATAGATAATCACCGCAGATCTTGGATCTAACTGATGGATTCTCCAAAAGACCCCTATAGTTGAAGAATTGTAAGAAACTTTTAGTGACTAGATGCATAATGTAATCGAGTAGCCGACGTAAACTCTATCATCAACGTGTGTGTGCATATGCAAGTATGCTTCAAAGCTAGCTGGTCAAAAAATGCAGGCGACATCGCGGAACCAAGTATTACTACTGTAATGTAGACTCATAAAGAATGGCAACAACTTGCCAAGCTTTACGGATACCAAAAGTGAAGTTTATTCTTAATTTATATACTTGTATGAGCGTATATTTACGCCTATCAAGAGCTCACTACAGTGATCTGTAAAGATGACAATGTTATTAACTTTACATGCAATGGCGTAGGATCAATAATGTTATACTGAGTACACAATGAAAATGTTCATCTCCAGTCTCTTTTTTGTCATCCTTTTCTAGTAATAGATACAAATCAATAATGTTTGAAGTAAAGGATAAGAATATGGACAGATTGAATTATTCTAGTCCATCATACAATAAGCTAAATGAAACCTGCGCCAACAAGTCTAAAATGCCTCACGTACTAAGCAAGGAAAAGCAAGCCACTTTACTGTACTGTATTGTACAGAAGCGCTGTTGTGCGCTCACTGTACTGTACTGTACAAGACAGCAACACGGCTGTAACCCACGCTATTGAGTACCGTCCTGACAGCCATTGACAGGGTATGTGAAAGTAGTGGTTCCTAAATTAATTTCAACTTCATTACCATCAACTTTCAAAAGAACATTTTCGGCTCCGATCCCGAAATTTCTAGATGCTTTATATGAAGGATAAGTAGCACGTACATTGAGATGGTTTCATCAATTGCAGAATCGCCATTTACAGTACTGTAGAGTAACGTCGTTGGAAGTTGGAACAAAGCCTACCGTAACTAAATTTCAAGTAATCAAGCGCCTACAGTGAAGTGTAAGTTAGGTAGGAGAAAATGTATGGCGAGTGATATCAATTATTTAGACATCGGTAAAATGATCTCGGACCAATATGACGACAATAAGGACAGAACATATCATCATAAAATGGGAAGCAATCCACCCAACGTGTACCGTGCATCCGTGATAGAAAATGTTGCTTTCAGATACTTTCCTCTACGACTGTCAAACAAACAGGTGTATACTCAATGAAAAGCATTGATTAACTTACATATCGGCACCACAGAAACCAGCAAGGCGTTGATGTAAAAAATGACTGAAGAAGCAGTGGTAACATTTTTGCTAAAATCTTGCAATAGCAAGTCGTCTTCACTTTTACGAGACTTTGAAGCCGGCATGATGATTTCTCTCTGATGGTCACTGCTAGCCACGAATAGTGTCGAAACTGTGGATCTGTTTATATCGTCAAGTCTTTTACTACGACGCTTTCCTAGTCCGGCCGGACTTGTGATACGGTTTTCTTTGGGGTCTCTAGACGCGTGCGTATCTTTGCAGTGTGTACAGTGCTTGGGTCTGTTGAAGCGCTGTACTGTAGACTGTAGACTGTAGACTGTAGAAAACAGAAAGGTTTTTAGTCTCATACCGTACTGGTCCCGGTCCCCCCAACGATGGTCCAGTACGAGCTGACAATCATTACATTTATAGTACTGTACCGTTACTACTGTACACTGTACAGTACTGCAATCTGATCAGAGACAGAATGACAGTATTGACAGACATTTCCTCGTACAGAGTCGCCATGTGACTGGCGTCCAATTTTTTCTTTTCTTCCCATTTTACAGTTATGCAAGTTATGCTAAGGAATGGACAAGAATTTTCTCTAGTAGACTCAGAATGGCTTACGGTAACGCAGTAAAGTACTGTAAGCATTACCTTTAGCACGGGCTGCAAAGCAGCTGCAAGCAAAGCTTGATTTTTAGCACATCCTAGATTGAATTGATTTTATATCCATTGACAAACTTAATCTTTTACTATGATACATCCATTTTTCTGAGAAATCAATTGATCATTAATTAATGAATAGATGAAAAATTCATATTTCATTTTATTCTACAAGGTGAGTCTGCGGTTGCAGCAACCAAAATGAGATATCTACAGTATTCGTGTCAAACAAGACGAAAGTGTCCTGTCCTGTACTGGTACTGTACCGTATTTTGCGGTACACAACAGTAATGCCGTACTGTACATTGTACATTGTACTGTACAGTATATACTGTACTGTACAACAAGAGCACCAGAGTACCAGTAACCGAAGCACCGTTCCGTTCCGGTCCGTTCGCAACTGGTGTAGGTCTATTTGTAGCTTACAATCTACAGTCCAACTGAGCATGACTAAAATCAACAGAAATGTTGTCCGGTATCTCTCCATTTCAGAAGGACAAAGACAGAAGAAAAAGTTGCTACAGCCTACAACAACGTCTTCCACACCAAAGGGACTACCACACCAACATTGTTGGATATCATTTTACATGCGGAAGGCATAGCTTGGGAGCCGAGATTTTGCAGTTGCCTACCGGTATGAAGAGAAATAGCAAAAGGAAACCTATTCAAGAGGTAAATTGATAGCAACCAATGACAACAACAACAACAAGAAAATAGTGGTAATTTTAATGAATGAAATGATGTCCATCAGCGCATTAATCCCACCAGCATTATTGCGCCAATAGATCACCTTAGCATGATGGGTGTTTGGAGAGAGAGAGAGTAGAATACTCAACCATCAATGCTATTGGAATAATACGTCATGTGCAGTTTATACAGGATGAAATTGCAGTTGATATAACATGACAAGGTAGAAATGGATGTGCCTAGATATAGGCGATCCTATGCTAATACAAATGAAACTACTGATCGTGGTCCAAATTTCCAGTCATGTAATATGCGCTAATTCCATTTTCGCTGACACTGAAGTTCCTCACTTTGACTGTATGTTATTGGACTAGACTTGTGACTCAGTTGGTCAGTAGTTTACAACTTAAGCGACTTTGATGTTGAATTAGGCTTGTTGATATGGCCGATAAAATTCAACCATGTCAACAGCCAAACTGGTCAATTGAAATAATGAAAGCCATTGAGTGGATCAACTTTCATTTACTATCCTTGTTATTAGACAGTTTACCTTACATACGGTACAGGCTAATGACTGACATTCTTCCAACAGTACAGTGCAGTATTATCTTTTCAGCCTTGACACCCCTTCTAACTTACAGTAACTCATCAACTAACTCGATGCATCGATATATCGAGTAGTCCATGCTTGTGTACATAAACTGAGGTATTCGCACTTGATGAAATATCGCTTATCAGTTTAGAGGTGTTTTAATTTTAGCCCTCTGGATGGATATTTGCAAGCACTGTCTCAAGCTACATATCATACTGTAATGTCATTGTCATTTAGTCTTATACAAACAGTAGAATACAAAATTGGATACATTTGCAATGCACTTTCTTACCTTGATTGTAAATACTTGCCTTCATGCACTAGCAGGACAGCAGCGATGAATCCCAAGCACAAGATCAAGTTGTTTCCAAAAGGGTATGTTGAAATGGTATTATGCACCCTGTCGCTTACCTACTGTTTCTGCAGTATGTAGTACAATTGGCTCTGTTTGTGCTTTGGCCAGAAATGGCCCTTGATAAAAACCTTTTCTAGATTACATGTAACAGTTTGTTGCCTCATTGGATCATCGTATTGCTCAATGTGCTATCGATGGTAAATGTCTTCTACGTACATGATTATAGCTAAGACCATCGACTCGAAATCCAACATTGGAAGAACTCAACGTCGAAGTAAACTTCAATTGTCGTGAATTTGAAAACATTACCAGTTACCACCATTTTTATAAAGCTGCGAAATCGTATATAGAAAAGAAGAAAGTAGATTTACTCGGTCAACAGGTAAGAATACCAAAATTGACCCTTGTTGAGTGATCGTTTGTTCCAGCTTTATTAACGAGACAGCTAACTGCAGTGACTGCATGCATGGTCATTGACCGACACATCTATTCTACCAGAACATAACCTACTGTACAATCCCTCTCGAAATTTTAAATATTCGACCCACTTCAAGTAGACAAATAGTGTTGTGCTTGCAGTCTCGTGGTGCAAAGGTACATCAATGTTATTAACATGTGCTATGATAGGTATGTAGTTGCGCTACAAACTGAAAAACTACTTTCGACTACTGCCTCATCCTACGTAATGTGCTGTACATATAAATCAATAGAACTTACTAGCGCCGACGTAAATTCGTTATACAAATATTATTTTATTAATCTTTCCGGTTTTTATTGATCTACAAAATAATAAGCATTTCCTGTTAGAAAAAAATTGTCTTATTTTACCTTTATTTCTGCTTTATTTCCTTCTAATCCTTGATGAACGATTCTGTTAGATTACTAAAGTTATTTCAAAATGGTGGAAACGCTACAAAGATCACAATAACATTGATAACGTAGAAGCCAAAAATCCTGATCGTAACAATGATCAATGGCGTCAAGATCAAATTCCTAAGCGTGATAGTGATGAAAAGGAGAAAACATCAGCAACAAGTAATAAAACTGCCCTCAGGAGATCGACGAGGAAATGTGTTACGGCTCCAATAAAATTTGATTTTGATTCATCAGTAAGTATTTGCACCCAATTTTCTGAACGATGTGTTGTGTAATATTTATTGCTTATAGATGATATTATTAAAAGAATAGTTTCCTTTTCTATCAGATTGAATTGGAGAATTCACAAACTGGCTCTCCATTTATGCTCTATTTTCTTTCTAACCATTTCTTTAACTAATTGTTACATTACAGAGCGACGACGACGCTATCTTCGTTAGTTGCGAAAGTGACAACGAAGATAATCATTCCGATTATAAAGACAGTAAAGGTTCAAATTAATCGTAATTTTTATCAACTTTGATCTGCTACATAGTTATCTACTGACTACTATACAAAACTCTTTCAATAGGCGATCAAAAAGATACATCAAAACAGGTTTCAATCAATGACTACTTCGAAATTAATACTAATAACAATGTTAATACCACAGTTAACTGCTGAGATCGCTTGCTGCTTAGTAAAAACGAAACATGATATCAAAGTTGAAATGCCTTAACTAGTATTTAGACTACGTTTATTAACCCTCTTGACTAGGAATCGAGCTCCGAACTAGCTTTTGATGACCATAATGACTTTTGCCACGTGTGTAAGGACGGAGGACAGCTTCTCTGTTGTGACTCTTGTCCTCTTTCTTACCATTTACGCTGTCTAAACCCTCCCCTTGAGGATATTCCCGAAGGCGATTGGCGATGCCCGAGATGTTTGGTAATTTCAGTTAGACCTTTCCTACCAAGTCCAAATAAGAAATTAAATTGTAGTAGACGATTCTTTTAACATCACAATTACTTAATTTCGCTTTTACAAATATATTGTACTACAGTAATTCCCGTCACAGCATTGGCCTCAATTTGATTGAAGTTGATTAATTCTACTTTAACATTTTGCTAGTGCCCTCGACTGACAAAGAAAGTGGAGAAAATCCTAACGTGGCGATTTACTAATGCAGATGAAGGTGACTCTCCAGTTATATTAAAAAATTATCGATATTACCTTTCAATAATTTCCCTTATTTGCCACGTTTTTCGCATATTTCAACAATTTAGATCACAAGGTTGGACTTTAAACAAACCGCGAAGAAGTTATCATATCAAATTACCTTTAGCTCAAATTAATATAATCACCTACGGACACAATCGTAAAACCTTATTGATCTTTATTTTATATGCATGCCGGATTTTCTTCAGGTTACTACAAAACCGACTCGAGAATTTTTCGTTAAATGGAAGGATAGATCATATTGGGAATGTTCATGGATTTCACAATTACAGGTTAATCAGTTATTGCATATGGTGAACATGTTGCCTCCTTTTATGATGACTAATACAGTAAAGATGCTTCAAGTCCGATCGATCAATGACATATAATTAATATGTTCCGACACTTTTACCATCTTGTACCATAGTTCGAAATTCATCACCCCATTATGCATCGAATTTACTTTCGAAAAAATAGCAGTAAATTACCTCCGCCACTAGATGACGAATCAATTTATGGTACCTCCGCTACGGTCAAAGGCAAAAACGGCGAAAACCTCGAGGAGAAATATTACAAGAATGGAGTTCGCCCTGAATGGTTACAAGTACAACGAATTATAGACGACAGGTTCGATAGCTAATTAGTCTTTCAGTAATTTTGATCACTTTCTTACCTCTCACTGATTTCATCTGACAGAATTATTTCCGAAGAAGAGACTGATTATCTAATTAAATGGAAAGACTTACCTTATGACGTGTGCTCATGGGAAAGTGCTAGAAATGTCACCTACATTTTAACAATGGAAGATTCAATTAAGCAATATCACGAAAGGAAGTATGACTATCTAACCTTGTAACTAGGAAACTATTTGCAAAAAGTTAAAAGACTTAGCTCTTAATCTGTAGCAATGTCTTACGTTTGCAGGAAGAGTTATTCGGATAAGATATCTGTTTCGTCTCACAGAAGGACTAAAAAGACCGAACAGACGCAATCTGACTCTGCAGACGTAAGTGATATATTTACAATAATAAGTTCTGTGAACTCCCCTTAAAATGACCAACTAAATGCTATTAATATAGCTACGTCGGAAATATGACGAACAGCCAGACTTTATCAGCAAAACTGGTGGAACTTTACATGCATATCAACTTGAAGGACTAAATTGGTTACGATTTTCATGGGCTGAAGAAACTGACACTATTCTAGCAGATGAAATGGGCCTAGGGAAAACTATTCAAGCTATTTCATTCCTAAATTCCTTATTTATGGAGGTATATCGCGTACATGCTATCAAGGCAGTTAACTAATAGATTTGACTATCGTAACTGTATTTCACTTTTAGAATCACTGCAAAGGACCGTTCTTAATTAGCGTACCTCTATCTACTGTCGTTAACTGGGAAAGAGAGTTTGAAATGTGGGCGCCAAATTTATATGTGGTTTCATATGTAGGTGACAAAGATTGTAGAAAAGTAATCAGGTAAATGTAATGGAATTCACCGCTGATATTGCTATTACTATTCGATATTCCCTCACTTGTTTTGTGTGCCCTCTCAATAATAAAACCAATAAATCTTTCCTATTTTCGCACTATTTTGGCGTATTAATAAATGTTATACTTAACTACTGTGTCCAACATTCTAGGGAACATGAATTTTACCGTGACGAACAGTCTGACAGTAAGGGAAATAAAGCTGTTAAACCGAAGAAAAAAAGTTTCCTTAAATTTCATGTCCTGCTGACTTCGTATGAACTAATAACTATTGATGCTCCGATACTGCAATCGATCGATTGGAAAGTCCTCATAGTTGATGAAGCGCACCGTTTAAAGAATAATCAATCAAAGGTACAACGTTAGATGGATTGATTGCATCATTTACATAAGATAACGATACAATAGTTATACTATATTAGGCCGACGTGCGATCATCCAAGTGGAGGATCGCTACAATCAATCACTGTTAAAATGTCCCTTTAATTATTTTCAATGCCCTTAGTTTTTTTTATCTATAAATAAGTAAGTCTTCGAAGACTTGTATGGAGGGCAGTCTTTAGTCGCTGCCACTAAATTGTTTAACCTTTACTTAAAAATTAACATTGCATAAAATAGGTTATAGTCTTCAAGTGATCATCTCTTAATGAGTTAGAGAGAATGAAATTACATATAGTTAATTGTTTAATTTGAGTTATAATTTGATTCACACATCATAATACTGTAATGTCCCACGAAACTCACTTTTGTGTAATCAGTCATGAGTAATAACTAAATATTAATTGATCATTTGTTACAGTTTTTTCGCGTACTTAGCTCTTATAAGTTAGGCTACAAGTTATTACTGACCGGAACACCGTTGCAGAACAATCTTGAAGAATTATGGAACCTACTAAATTTCCTAAGTCCTGACCGATTTAAGTATGTATTACCCGATCTGTAAATATACGGTATAAAATTTTATATACTTGATAATAATATTTACGATAAAATTTGTAGTTCTTTAACGTGATTTTACCTAATTTCAGTTCTTGGCAAGATTTCAGTATGAAATTTGAAGATATTTCAAAGGAAGATCAAGTTCGTATTTCCACTTAACATTAAAACCTGATAGTAATTCTGATTTAGCATTGATGTTTGCTGCTATACTGTACATAGATCAAGAAGTTAAATGAGCTACTTGGTCCACATTTATTACGTAGAATGAAAGCTGACGTAATGAAGGTAATAGATTACTACAATTTGGAATTATTTTCGATTTATTCTAAATATCACTCTTTAATGAATAAAACTTTACCATGATTAGGGTATTCCCGAGAAAAGTGAAGTAATTGTTAGAATTGATCTCACGTCCATGCAAAAGTAATGAAGTATCTTTGCGTGTTAATTGTATTACGCTATGGAATCTAATGTGTTTTAACTGTGCCGTTTTAATTAGAACGTATTACAAGTATATCCTAACTAGAAATTTTGAGGCATTGAACAGCCGCGGTAATAAACACGTTTCTTTGTCCAACATCGTAATGGAATTGAAAAAATGCTGTAATCATCCTTATTTGATCCCATCTGCTTCTGAAGTAATTATCGAAATACGCACGTTTTTGCAACTTAATGATTTGAATTAAGGTAATTGTCGATGTAATTATGCGAACCTAAATGCATACGCGTATATGCATATACCTTAGGATGCGCCCACCAACATCGACGGTACGTACCATCTATCTCCACTTGTTCAAGCTTGTGGTAAACTTATAGTTTTAGAAAAGATGCTAAAGAAATTAAAAGAAACTGGAAATAGAGTACTAATTTTTTCTCAGGTCAGATAGATATAGTAATGGAACTCTTGAAATGAAATTCACAGTAACAGTGCTGATACTTATGTATTTAGATGACTAAAATGTTAGACATATTAGAGGACTTCCTTGATGGGTTAAATTACGAGTACGAACGTATCGACGGTAGTACTTCAGGAAATGAAAGACAAGCCCTTATTGATAAATTTAATGGTAAAGTAGTTAATATGTACTGCACATGGCTTTTTTCAAAGAATTATCAATGTTTTTTCATACTTGAATTGTGCTTCATTTTTAGCCCCAAACGCCACTCAGTTTTGTTTTTTGCTTTCAACGAGAGCTGGCGGTCTCGGAATAAATTTGGCTACTGCTGATACTGTCATAATATATGACTCTGACTGGAATCCTCATAACGATATTCAGGTAATCTTAATAATGTCCTATAGCTAGAATGAAATGATAACAGTACGGAATATGTATAGAGTCAAGCTTCAATTGATCGGATCATTATTTAATTAGGCTTTCAGTCGTGCACATCGTATCGGACAATCAAATAAGGTAGATAAGAAGTGGAGATTTTATTGTATCATACTATCAATATGCACTATATTTTGAATTATTGACTATAATGTATATTCCGCTGTTTTGAAATCTTTGTAACTCATTATTACTTTTTTATAAGGTTATGATCTATCGATTCGTTACGAGATTTTCAGTGGAAGAACGGATCACACAGGTTACATAATATTGTAATCCAATATTCTGTATTTTATCAATTTATGCCATTATAACGTGGAACTGCACCAAACAATGATTGTATAACAGGTAGCTAAGAAAAAAATGATGTTAACCCATCTAATCGTCCGACCTGGTCTTGGTTCATCGCAATCCGGTGCCCTTACTAAGCAAGAATTAGATGATATTTTGAAGTTTGGAACAAAAGAGCTGTTTAATGATGAAGATAGCGAAAGTAAGACGCGTTATTCAAGTATAGTCTAGTTGGCCTTCCAAACATTTATTATTATTAAGTGACCTTAACGTCAATAGTAATATGACCTTGTTATTGATTTACGCGTGCTCTTGATTAATGTAAAGCTTCGAAGAGCCGTCTAATAGATTATGATGACAAAGCAATCGAAGATCTCCTTGATCGTAGTCAGAAAGGAATGGAACAAAAAGACCTTTCGAATGAATTCTTAAGTTCTTTCAAGGTTAATCATTAGCAAAAGTGAATGCTATATTCGGTAATTAATGTAAAAAAATGGTGACACTTATTGTTGTACTAGGTTGCAAGCTACAGGCTCAAAGATAAGCAGGATCAGGTTAATCAATCTCATGATGGAGAGGGTACTCAGGTAGTGCAATCACATATTGTAATCCTTTTTTAATATTTTAATTTCGGAAGATAATGGCTTATTGACTAACTACTAATTACTAGCCCAAGCTACATCCGTCAAGTCCTGACTACTGGAATAAATTACTGAGACGTCGTTATGAGCTTTTCGTTGAAGACCAGAGTAAATCGTTAGGAAAAGGGAAAAGGATAAGAAAACGGGTCAACTAGATTATTATTTTTTGTCATTAATAGCTATATATCAGTTTTATTGATTCAACTCTTCTATAAATATTAAATTGAATAGATCAATTATGAGGAAGATATATATGATATTGGCGACGATATCTGTAAGTATTGGTTTTACTTATGACGGTCGTTATCGGCGATAAATATGTAAGATAGATCATAAATATGTCACTAGCTTGGAACGGCGACGAATCAGAAACTGAATCGTCCGAACCATCCTGTTCTGAAGACGAATTACCTAAGGTTACTGGTATCGATGGACAAAAACCAAGTTAGTGTCAGCTCCATTTATGATATAACCAAATATACGCATAACTAATCCTTCTGTGCTAGTGATCATGTATTTCAATATACCTTACTAGACAAAATAATTAAAAATGATATTTCCAAAGACGATAAAATTGTGAAACCGGCTGAACTTCTTAGCACAGTTAATGGACGCGTCGAAGTAAGCACCAGCTGAGAGCATCATAATTCGTATTCGTAACGTTTTTGATACAAATACGTTCTGTAGTTATTGTTACTCCAATGATTAATGGTTTAATCCTGCTCATCATAATTATAGGTATACGGTTTCAATGTTCGTCAACGTAGGGCGTTTGTTAATCTTATATTACGCTATGGAATGCCGCCTGAAGATATTTCTGCTGATCGAAAATGGTATGTTTATGTGCAACGTAATGTTTTATCTTTTGTATAATATAAGTTACAAATTGTTACAAATTTTGTTTAGGTTCACCCGCGATTTGCGATCTAAGCCTATAAAGGAATATCAGTATGGATATAAATTTTATTGTATAATTAAATTAAATTTGTACTATTAATGTTCTAAATGTAAACTTCTTTATTTTGTAGAGAGTATGTAAATTTATTTTTAAAACATCTCTGCGAGTTGGAAGGTGATTCAAACTCAGAATCTTATAGCGACGGAGTACCTAAAGACAACCTATCACGTGGTCTTGTTTTGAGCCGGCTTGCCATGATGCAACTCATTAAAAGAAAAGTAAACGTGATAACTTGATCACTGTATTATGTTTTTAATTTATAAACCTGCTATATTCGTTTTCAGGTGAAAGAATACGAATCGGTAAATGGTGTATCTTACAAAAATGGTTCCTGTCTGGAATCAGAGTATAACTCATCTTCTAAAGACACTCATGTAAATGGTTAGTTAGCTCACGTAGTGATACTAATTTCGAAATTGAAAAATTGTAGTCTTACTACCAATATTTTTTTAGAAGATCATACTTCGCCCAGTAAAGATAATGCAGACATTCAGATTGACTGCTCTTCCGAGAAAGTAGATACTACTACAATAACGACGCTCTCCTCCAATTCGGTTCACACTGAACTTCCTAGCAATAACCTACACCAGCAGCATGAAAATGAAAACGGCGTTACAAATAAAGATCGATCAGTAGCTTCTTCCCGCCCCTTTAAATTTAATATTGTTGAGGGAGGATTCACCAACCTACATGAAATCTGGAAAGTTAACGACAATAATAGCCATAAGATTGATGCAAATTATATTCCATGGGGTCGTGTTCATGATTACTGGTTCTTGGTTGGGGTTATTAAACATGGTCATGGCAGATGGCAAGATATATTAGCTGACGATGAGTTATCTATTATTTCTGACTCTTTTATTGGAAAATCGTTCAGTAGTGAAATAAAGAATAAATACATGGCCGGAAGGCTTAAAATTTTGGAGCAAGCCCTTTCAATTGAAGAACAGTTAAGAAGGGCTGACCAGTCAACATCGATATCAGATGAACCTTCATATTTATCTTTAGAGCATGGCTTACGCGAAATTGAATACATGCTAGAAGCTCATCAACACTTATTAGCTGACGACTCTCAAACCACGAGGGACATTCTTCAACGTGTATTAGGGCACGTAGACGAACGACTTTGCGATCTAAAATCTGAAGCAAGTAGGATCATATCGTCTCTACCGAAGCAGCCTTCTATCTCATCGAGACTGCATCTAAGCGAAAGGAATTTACTGACGCATTTTGGAATGTTAAACAAAGAACCGACCGAGCCAATCTTAGATGAAAGCGTCGGTACTAATTTCAATGCTGAAGTACCTAACTCTAATACAGCGGTGGCTGATGTAGTAGACAAACAAATAGTATCCGACAATCACGAGGAAGTCAATGCTACGCTAAAAGAAATTTCAGAAAATAACACTGACAATATAAACAAAAATTGCTCAGCGGAACAAGCAGTCGTGATTGAGTAAAACGTATCAAAAAAATTTAATTTTTGACTTCGGTAGAGAGTACTAGAGGAGATTGCTTGTCTGCTCTGTTAGTCGGATATTACCGAATAAGCACTGTTCTCTTCCTTCATAAGTTATACAACATTTATCTTAGTAGCCAGTACTGTGACATAACTGTAGCACTACACGCTAAACTATTTATTTATCTTTGTAATATAGCATTGAATTTTGTTGTTTTGAAATATTACAAATGAAAATTGAGATATCAGGAATAATAGAGTTGCCAAATATTCAAATTACTATTAATAAATGTTAACTTATTAAAGACTCTTTTTCAATGTTACTGGAAAAGGAGTATTAATTTCCGTCCCATGTTTCTTAAGGACATTGTAAAACCGTTGTAAATTATGAAGATTCTGGTACTGATTTTAAGGAGATTAATAAGTATTAATATAAATGGTTGTCACGAAGTGAGTTTTGCATTGACATGTAAAAAATTATTTTGTTATTGTTGCTATGTGATACACTTTAAATACAGTAAGTTTCAGAAATTGTAGCAATGAAACCGGCCGGTGCTATTGATAGCAGCGGACACAGCCAAGATCAGATTGATGTAGACGAAGCTGTTGTCTGCACTTATAATCAATAAAAGGTGAACTATTGAAGATGTTGATGTGTTTCTCCTAGTGTTACGGTTGTAAGATGGAACAAGCATTCTGCCTTATTTTGTCGGAAAAACTCCGATGCTGAAATGCGATCCCCTGACGAACTACTAATATAAATCTTATTTTATAAAGGTTCGAGTTGCATTATACTGCATGATGTTATTAACCACAAGTAATACCATAATAACCATGATTATATCAAAAGTTGAAAGCATAAGCTACCTTACTAAAATATCCACTGCAGGCGGAAAAGCCTAATACGGTACGATTCCGATACGTAGCAATGATATCGTTGCTCCAGCCATTATAAGACTCTGACACATAATTAGTTGATACGATGGCTGTCACGATTATATTAAAAGCAACTAATAACAACATACCGTGAAATCAGATTAGGATACATCATCAAAGTCCTACTGTAGTCCTATCCTATGCACCTCAGCTGATTAAATGATTATACAGACAGGAAGAAATTTTAATGAAAGCTATTCTAAATACCCATTCTACTGTATGGAGGAGCTACTGTATCCTAGTACTGTTCAATGTACATCTCCAGTAAAGACAAAATCATTTCGAATTAGAATGCTTACAATCACGAAAATGTACAAACCCCATTTTGAGGCATGAACCACCTCTGAGCGTGATTACAACCAATATTACAATTTCGGCACATTGTAACTTTTTACTATGTAAGTAAGTAATCTTAGCTACAGTTTTAATGTTTTATTCTGCAAAATGGTAAGGTGATCTATTTTATAGATAAATAATCAACTGCTAGTATAATACTAATTTACAACATTATGAAGGTTATAAATAATACTGGTATAATAGTTTCACTATATCATTACAGATAAAAGTACTATATAGAAACGGTAATTAATAAAGACCAACTATAAGAGGAATAACTTTTTAATTTATCAATAGAAAGCTACATGATAATATAAAGTTCTCTTATTTTTATCCTCAAACTCTTTAATAATATTCTCGATATTGTCATCTAAGTCTTCACATTCTTCAATCTTCAACAAGGATGTCAATCATTTATAATATTAATAAAAGAAATGAACGTAACGGTTAAGCGATTCAATGGAATGATAGAAAGAGTGCAGGCTTGTACTAAGTTTTAAGCTAGGTACTCAACTTAGGACTGCTATCATACAGACCTGTTGGCAAAGTTCGCAAATTAAAACAGCTCCAATGGTGGCTTCTTCTTGATTATCCATTATATTCAGATTGATTAAGTGTACGGGAGTGCCATTAACGTTGCCACGATTTTCAAAATCTATTTGTTATTAGCAAAGATCGCAAAGAAAATCAGTACAGTATAATCGTTGCATTCTGGAAAGCATTGATCAAGAAGTAGCGCTAAGGGAATTTATCGCAACTTTTTTATTATAACATATACTCGTACGTCTATCTTAACCCACCTTCGATGACTTGATCGTAAACACGCTCATCGCATGAAATAACACAATCGTGTTTAACAGTACAATCTTGAAATCTTTCGGGCTTGGTTTTAATCCTTCTATTTCTATCTAACATGTGTAATATACCATTTTGTGTATATCTTGAACGTATCATAAGTCATTAAAATTAAAGAAAATACAACTTTCTAAGATATCACTGTGTATGATTATCGCTATCATTTCCGTATCCTATGTAGAATTAAAATTGATGGATAACAACAAGAATGGACGATATCCCCTACAGAGGAGATTTGTAATGTTGATATTGTGACACCAGGATACAATGTTTTATCTTTCTTGGTCAAATCGTTATACATTTCATCATAGCTGGAATCAAATGAGTAAATATTAGGCTCTTCCGGAGTTGGGCCAGGTAATTTGCAATGAGTACCGGAACCAAATGAAGTAACATTGAAGCCTCGCTTACTAAAGCAAGATGATAAAAATAGGTATTAATAGCAATCAATCGCTCGATTGGAGATTTAACTCTTTCACATCCAGCCTGGATCTGATATCCGCATTGTTAGTGAAACAGACAAAATATGTTTAATTTCTTGCTAGAGTAACATGGCAGGCTCTCTGTTACGAACATAATCAACAGGATAAAGACTTTACCTCCTTTAACTATGGCTCTATCAATATGGTTATGGTAATATGTGCAAAGGAATACTGTACGTGCGATAGTTGTAAATTAATCAACTTTTGTTTAAGCTGTGAGAATTGACTGAAGTTTAATCATTTCAACAGTTTGTATCATTGATCGTCTTTGTTAAAAACATGACGATGGTTCATGATCAAGTAAGTACTTTTATCACTACAATGTATAGTGAAGATATGACAAGAATAAACGGCAGTATTCGATTTATAATCCTGTGTTTTACCATTGATGATCAGTTAGAAGAAATGAATTCGTTGTCAAGTAAGCCGACTCAAGTCTCATTCACTACTGTACTAATCTTGTTACTTTTTTCTATCATCTACACATTGGATTTACAGAGCCGAAGACATGCGTCTACAGTATATCCTCAATCACTATCCAATGTTATCATGTTGTGCTTTTTCTACCAATACAATCCATTTTCCGTCTCAAAGGCTATCCTATAGCTATGCTTGGCAACCAAGATCGTGATCATAACTCGTATCGTCAAAAAGGCGATGAAAAATCAATCCATTACTAACACGAAAGACAATTACGAATAATAATTGTAGTTTATCATCCATCAGAGATCCCCATGATGGTTGATTTACCTCAGTAGCTTATGAGCAGCCATGCTTCGATTTTGATTACTAGAGCATACTATAGCAAAATCTAATTTAGGCATGGTTTGGTCGACACAATCGCAAGCCCAAATTGGCAAAATCGTCTTCTCCACAAATGATGAGAAGAACCTTTGCAGTGGACGAATTTATACTTGAATTACTATGCGATCGACGTAGTCACTATAGCGTGTAGAGTATGGGAATCCAATGGTATGCCCGAGACCATACTGCGCATACTACTGTTCACTATAGGGTAGTGCATCACCTACCCATAGAGGGTTATGGAGTAGCGTGTAAAGCAGCTGTAGTCCATTGCTGACAATGGCTAGGTCATGGGCATCCATTGGAGTTGGATAATATCCAAATTAATGTCCCAATCTTATGAAATGATTACTGTTATGGATATCATTCTATACAGTAGAAAGTACTTCTTCGAATAGTATGACTTTCTTCTTCAAGATCTGCATGACAGCGATTAAAATGGAGATTTTAGTCATGACAAAAATGAATGAAATTGATGAATCGTTTGCATACTAAAAATAGTTCTAGCTCGAACTAGCACTTTTTGTCATTCAAAATGGCATACGGAGAACCAATGTAGGATAACAGTCTAGTCGTATTGGATGTTATAGTAAATATTTTAAATTGGATTTTGATGCAGTTACTTTTACAAATTCAACTTTTATCGTTCAATTCGTCTTCTTCCTCTGTATATCATGATAGAAATAAATAAATAGAATGAATTTGAATGCATGATTTGACCATCGGTTCGGGCAATGTCCAATTGTTGTAGGATGGACTATAAAGTTGAAGTTTTATAGGTAAAAACTCTGAAATTGGATAATTCCGAAGTAAAGTATATCAATCTTGCGAAATTATTACTCTTATATTGGGTCACTTGGCAGCTTGGAAATATTATCGTGCTGCTTTACGATGGAAACGTTATTAGCCGTCAGCCACATGGCTAGCATGATATTGATGATAGAATTCATCATACAAAAAAGAGAACGATCAAGATACTGATGGTTATTGCTCATAACATTCTACTGGAAATAATATCCCATGCGACTTCTTGAATCAGGTATAATGATCATGATTACAGCATTCATTTCAATTCAATTGACTGCCACCCGCTCATGGCCGATCGACAGGATTTCCAATCGTTGACGTGATCCTCACACATGCTTGCAAATCAATTAACTAGTAATTATTATAATTAATGCATATGTTTGGATTAAACCTCTTCTTTAAGATGTGTCACCGCCCTACTATGAAATAAACACATGATATCGAATTTAAACTGAAATAGTCGATAACGGACTTGTTGTAGTGCAAGGGACTTTGACTTCGTTTAGACTATTCATAATACCAATAGTGGACTAGCGATGTAAAAATATATCAAAAAATCATGCACCTTGTATTGTAGTGATGCCGACACATTATTTAGGTTAAACTAATCTTCCACTTTCAGTTACTTCGTACTGGAAAATATCCTATTTATCATCAACTTAAACTTATACTTTACCGTTATCCTATACAACATCATAGATTAACCAATCACTACTGTACATCTATTTTGGCAGTAGCAACATTAGCTGAAGATCAAATATCAGGTCAAAGTAGAATAGGACAAAGTCCGGTAGCATTTTGCTGCTTTCGCTAGGGCCAAATTCATTTTACAAAATATAAAAATATGAAAATAGTACCATAAATCAACTATAAACTAAGGTTCTTTTAATAAGCAAGATTAACTGATAATTATTATGGTACGCATGGCTGATTGTTGTACTGCCAACATTATAGAAATACATCTTCTAGAGCATACGTGTCACACTAACATCGAGTTATAAATGTCTTGATCATATCCTTAACTGTACAGTGTTGATGTCTCCTAAAATGAATCAGCATCTGTCACTATTACACTACACTTTTAAATGCATAACAATCTTGCCATTTATCATTTGAAAGTATGGGTTAAATTATAAGAAAAACAAGCGATTTAAAATTAATTCATGTAACGTTATCATTTTATTGCATTTCATGTAGTTATCACTACTTTAACAATACGCTTGACCAACTGTCTGTAACAAGGTGACTGATCATAATCGCAGGATTGCCAAACAGTAAAATTATCATAGAAAGAAGTATTGCAGAAATAATCATAGTGCCACCTTTAAAGAAAGGTCATAAACTACAACAAAAATGAAATCCATATGACCTTGAAGGAGATAAATGATAGCTAGAACTAAGAGATTAAGCTTGGTATGTAGATGCAGAAACCGATCCGCCATGACCAGTCCAATTAGTATGGATAAACTGTCCGGGATTGGAAAGTAACTCGTAGGTATGAGCTCCAAAGTAATCACGTTGTGCCTAAAAAAAGAGATAGAGCAAATCATATACTTAGAATTAGTAAAATATCAAGAGACACTGGACATATCCCTTTTAGTAACTAAAGATGTGCTATGCAGTATATTGCTAATAATAAATTAACAGTACTTAATATTCGTATAGATCTTACCTGGATTAAATTAGCAGGTAGGCGGGACGAGCTATAATTGAAATAAATACGGCTTTTATAAGTAATTGGAAATGGAACTGGATCATAAACAAAGCACCACTAAACCATGATACAGCAAATACAGCATAAAAATAGATAAATCGATCACAGTACCGATAGCCGTCATAAAAGGCCAAAGCGCAACTGAATGATGGAGTAGGTATTCCAAGTAATACAGCATTTGCCACAACTTTACGCCAGGATTCCTATTGATTAAATCGTACGTTAGCATTAGGCAAGGCATACCAATTTCTAATATAATATCAATACAGTACATACTTGGCAGGAATCAATTGCAGAATGGAAAAAATCATCTAATAATAAACTTTCCAAATTAGGGTTTTTATCAAACGCGGATTTGATATTGCCCAAGAACACACTGAGAATCAATGAAAAATTTGGAGAATGAGTAATTTAGTAATAATAAAGCAATAAATTAATTGACTGAGTTTCTAACCTCCTAATAATACATCCACCTCGCCACATCAAAGCAATCGAGCCATAATTTAACGTCCAGTTAAACTGTTTTGCGGCCTCGCGCAATAGCATAAAGCCTTGCGCATAAGATACAATTTTCGAAGCATATAACGCCTACAATTATCATAATAGAACCATTTTACTAACTGATTCAAAATAAATATGTCAATCGAAGACTTTGAACCTTTCGAATATTTTCGATAAATTCCTTCTTGTCACCAGTATACTTTGCACTAGAAGGGCCTTTCAATACGCTACTAGCTCGAACACGCTCATCTTTCAAAGACGATAAACATCTAGCAAACACGGCTTCACCTGTATTTAACAAAATGGCGTTTAATAAGACTGCAGAAACGCAATAGGTTATCAAAATAGTTGCACAGAACGTCATTTTTTGATCTACATACCAATTAATGTTACAGGCATGCCGAAATCAAGAGCAGAAATAGCAGTCCATTTGCCAGTTCCTTTCTAATTTGAATATAAATACCGAATAATTTATTTCTCTGACTAAAAGATATTTGTATTCCGCAAGTGTGCTCTCCTATGCATTCAAACTGTCTACTGTAATTAATAACATGCATTCGGTTACCTGACCAGCAGCGTCTCTTATCTTTTCTAATAATGGTTGCCCATCACTATCTTTATAGGCTAATATATCACCAGAGATTTCAATTAAAAATGAATCGAGTTCACCTTTATTCCACTCTTTCAGAACCTACATATAGACAATAATTGCGTTGTAAAACACCAAGAGCCCTAAATGTTATTATATGCTATATAATAAAATTTAAATATTAAACAATTTAAGATCATACCGAACTCATTTCGTCATCACTCATTCCAAGAGAATCTTTCATCAAATGGTAAGCTTCGCAGATAAGCTATAAATCGAGTATTTTAAAAGTTTTAATTATTGCTCATTAATGCTGATATGACCAACAGTCTAAAAGCAATTTCTTATCATTACCTGCATATCACCATATTCAATGCCGTTGTGTACCATCTTAACAAAGTGGCCCGCTCCATCGCTACCAACCTAAGATGCAAACGTAACCATTACTCTTACAAATATGATAAGCATATGCACGTATTAGTTATAGCTTTCAATGTTAGTTTACGCAAGCAATTTGAAAATAAAAGTTCATTGCTTCAAAAATTTCTCTAATCATGCATTTCTTACCCAATCACAGCAGGGTTCAGTTCCTACTTTAGCTGCAATGGACTGGAAGATTGGCTTAAGTGACGGCCTAGACAATTGGTCGTAACAATTAATCGGTAATAAATGAGCTAAATATGGCTTAGACGAATATGCAATGTAACAATTTAGTAAATCATTAAGAGCATAGGAATTATATACAAGGTATATCAAATGAAACTTCCTATCAATTTTCTAGCGTTATTTTTACCAAGCTTCTGCGGCACCTCCGGGCATCAAAGAAGGTCCATACCGAGCTCCATCTTCTCCTCCAGAAACACCACAGCCCAAGTAGTAAATACCCTTAGTTTTTAGTTCATTATATCGACGCTAAAGCGGAAAAAAGGATAGAAGACATTGCCATAGATATTTAATTATAATTAGATATGTTTATTAAATCGCTATTTAATAAAACATTTTGAAAGATACGATTAACTACATATCCAACGGTACCTGGGTATCGGTATATTGTGAATTTCCACCATCAATAATGATATCTCCAGCCTCTAACAAAGGAACCTTAAGAAATAAGAAAAACCGTATCAACGGTAGCATTGAATTTAAGTCCTCTATATAGTAATCAGTAATACTACTAGCTTAGTTTTAAATTTTTACAGAATCAAATGAGCATTTAATATTAATTTATTATATTTTAGCATACAATCGTTAATGAAATACATAGTATTTCATTAGGAAAGAAAAACAAATATTCAACGAAGAGAAAACATTCATCATTACATCATCATAACTGGACTTCGTAATCAAAGAATTCTCTAATATCAAAATAATAAACTCTTTTCGATATAAAGATCTCATTGCTAACACAATTTTTTATGTAATTCTATAATTGTGTCGTTTGATAATAGTAGATACTGTAGTAGTAAGTTCTAAAACAGAAATTTGAATATTTCTCCAAAATCAAATTACCAATTGTTCGATAAGTGCATCCACTGCTCTTCCAGCTTTAACTAACGTCATCACTTTGCGCGGCTTCTTTAATAAAGAGACCATTTCTTCAATGCTTTTAGCACCAACAACATTAGTACCTTTATTAGACGACAATTGAATTTTTTAGTATAAATTGTAGGTCCACGACATGAAACAGCAAGAACGTTGAAATACAATTCTTGAACAAGAGAAAGAGGTCCATTAAATAAGCATGTAATCAGATACATCGAGAATGTAACACGGCAAGAATACTATTCAGCAACTTCAGTTCGGCGACAATAACATCACTTTTAAAAGTTAACTTGCACTTTAAATAAAAAATTGCTCAAATAATTGGTCATTGGTATAACCTTTTGCTTCATTTTGTAAGAAGTGTTCGACCTTTTGAACTGTTCTATTGTAAGCGCAAACCTGCCAAGATTTTGAAATGGATAGAAATTAGTGGTATAGATCATTGCGTAATTTAATCAAAAAGCCTAAACATCCTTCTGTCTACATTCGAGAACTATGTTAACGTATAGGGTCTAAAAGTAAGAAACTTAACAGCAATTGATTGATAAGATTCAATGAAGACTCAACAATTACAATATAGTGCTCTTTCCTCATTTACTTTGATGGCAGTAGACGAGCTCAAACTTTTGAGCAGATTACAATAGACACAGCATTGACTACCCATACAACAAATACATTTATTTATCATATCTAATATCAACAGGATATTTAGCTGCATTAATACGCATAGTAGCAGTAGATTGCTACATGGTTTAGCATAGAGGTTAGTAGCTTACCACAAAGCCGTGATCGTTCATATTCAAGATGATATTTTGGCCCTAAACAATAAATTATGGCAAGAATATATCGTGTAACATTAATTAATAATTTCTTTTAAGGGTTTTATATGGGTATTCTAGTAATCAAAGCCAAATTTTGATTCAAACTTCGAATTCTGAAGTAGAATCGTGGCGTCCTTCGATGTCATTTAATGACAACGTTGGTTACAACCTTGCAATTCTTCCATCACAGATATAGATACGTTGCAGTCTACTGGTAATTAATTCAATGGCGGCAACTACTACTCTATGTGTTATAGTAAAATTGCACTTCAACATTTTAATCACCACTACAATCTCTCCATAAATGTACATTGCGTTACCATCAAGGTACAGTTCAATTTTCGATAGAATACTGTATCTGCTCATACGAGTATAAGAGGCAAAGATTGACAACGATAAAGTAGTACAGTACATAATATATGCAAGTATGCCAAGGTATGAGAACAAAAAAATTGCTGTAAGAAAGACAAAGTATAAGCTTTCATAGTTACAAGCAGTAGCAGCCCTGCATGTACACCAAATCATCATGTATTTATCAACAGTATTAAGTTGGAGCATTCTTGATTAATAACTTAATTGGTCATTTTCTGCTAAATTGTACCACCTACAGTATTATATGTCGACTGTCTACCGCTATCTAGCCCTATGGCGATAATAAGAGTAGCGATCCACTCTAGAATGTTAGTATGCAAACTTACCATAACAGCCAGACCAATGAGTGCAATATCTGCCCTAAAAAGATAGAATTTACATAAAAGATCAGTTTTCTATTATCATCGCGCTATCAAGCGTTAGATGATTATCCGATTAAGACTAATCAAGTTGTGTATGATGCCCATTTATCTAGCCATCAGTATAGAACACTTGTTCATGATGATGATGATGCATTTGAACACAACCTTTCTCGATCCTAGAACAGTGTGTGGGCTCATGATGATGATCAGCTGTTGCAATGACAAAGCACACTCTCTTCATCTTGTAGCCCACACCCCATCGACAATATCCAATGTCATCTAGCCATACGAGTAATAGTATCAGCTGTGTTTTTTTTTTTCTCTCTCTCTCTCTTAGCAATGAAAAATAGCAATAGTATAATGCTAGGCTTTCCATTAATTATTTGACGACATGCTTACAGCAACTTGATTACAGAAGTAGTGAAATCACGCTAGATCGGTTGAGGATTGTTGAGCTCAATATAGCCAAGATACAACACCTGTCATACCCTATCTACAACATCCCTGTACTGTTTATACTGTACGAGTGCAAGGATCAGCTGTGTATATTTTTCTCTCTTTCTTAACGATAAAATAGCAATAGTATAAGAAAGCAACGTTAGACTTACTTTCTATCATTTGACAACATGCTTAACTTGATTATAGACGGAATGAAATCATGCTAGATAGGTTAAGGATTGTCGAGCTCAATGTGGTCGAGATAGGCGTAGCACGCCTCATCTCCAATATCCAAGACTATCTCTACTGTATACTGTCAGGATCCGCTGCGTATTTTTTTCCTCTCTCTGTTTCTTAGTAATAAAATAGCAACAGTATACGCGAATCTACGAATACTGTACGAGTAGGGATCAGCTGTGTATTTTTTTTTGGTCTCTCTCTCTCTTGGCAATAAAATAGCAACAATAGACTTCCTCTCTATCATTCAACAACACGCTTAACTTGATTACAGAAGTAATCAAATCACGCTAGATAGGCTAAGGATTGTCGAGCTGAATGTACTCTCCAATAAGCGAATCAACGAATACTGTACGAGTAAAGCATCAGCTTAGCTGTGTATTTTTTCTCTCTCTCTCTTGGCAATAAAATAGCAAACAGTACAAGGAAGTAAGGCTAGACTTACTATCCATTATTTGACGACATGCTTAACTTGATTGTAGAAGCGATGAAATCACGCTAGATCGATTAAGGATTGTCGAGCTGAATGTACTCTCCAATAAGCGAATCAACGAATACTGTACGAGTAAAGCATCAGCTTAGCTGTGTATTTTTTTCTCTCTCTCTCTTGGCAATAAAATAGCAAACAGTACAAGGAAGTAAGGCTAGACTTACTATCCATTATTTGACGACATGCTTAACTTGATTGTAGAAGCGATGAAATCACGCTAGATCGATTAAGGATTGTCGAGCTGAATGTACTCTCCGATAAGCGAATCTACGAATACTATACGAGTAAGCATCAGCTGTGTATTTTGTGTGTGTGTGTGTCTCTCTCACTTAGCAATAAAACAGCAACACTAGACTTCCTCTTCATCATTCAACAACATGCTTAACTTGATTACAGAAGTAATCAAATCACGCTAGATAAGTTAAGGATTATCGAGGTCAAATGTATCCTGCGATAAGCGAATCTCCGAATACTGTACGAGTAAAGCATCAGCTGAGTATTTTTTTTTGTCTCTCTCTCTCTCGGCAATAAAATAGCAACAGTACAAGGAAGTTACGCTAGACTTACTTTCCATTATTTGACGACATGCTTAACTTGATTGCAGAAGTGATAAAATCACGCTAGATCGATTAAGAGAGGATTGTCGAGCTGAATATAGCCAAGCTATCCGTCTTGATGGGATAAGATGAGAAGAAAGAAAATGCACTTTCTGAGTTACTTTATATAGCCAAGTGGGCTGATCATATGAAGTAGTATATAGACTGGATTCAAGGTATTGTATGGGGTAGTATACTGGTGTACAATCGTATCGAGCATCGAGTAAGGGCAGTCGAGCGTAGACTGTCTAGGTAGTGTATGATGTAGGCGATTGTGCCCATACTGTTATATAGAAGACAGACTTATTTCCAAAAGTCAATCCGGACATCATGCTCACCGCTGAGCTAGAAGGGGCTGAAAGAGAATTCTCTTATGGTTCTATCGGATATCGATCTCAAGCTGGGAAAATAGTGTATAAAAACAAGTTATAAATTAACTGATGTCATGGGAGAATAGCAACCCCTTGTAATTCTACTCACAATAATCCATCCCATAAATCTAAAATTGCAACTGCTACAAGTTGATCATGTAAGCCAATCGAAAAGGCTAACAGCCATCTTTGCAACGGCATGAGTCAGCAGTTAGCAGGACTCGAGCTAAATTATTCCTGGCTAATGAAGAAAAATGGGGGAGGAGCAATCAATGTAGCCATGCAATCTGCCTGTGCTCTACAGCTACTAACAGCAACGATTGGAAAAAAAGAGAGCAAGGGAAACTTTTTCCAGTTTCACTCATGAATAAGACAGTTGAATATGGTTTTATTGTTGAAATTTTCTCTTCCTTTTTCAACAGCTTCTACAGTAGCACTGCAAACACCAATTATTCCTCATCAAGAAATTTTTTTTTGTAAACATACCGCTGACCCCAACTGGTGCGGTAAGGGCGGTGAGTGGTTGCTAATTATAATATTATTATCGATAGATACTGGATAGAATTGCCATAGCGACCATATTGCAGGGTGTGGTGTATTTGTTCCAGGATTCCAGGCTGCATCGAGCTAAGAAGAAAGTAAAACTCGGCCCAAATACTGCTAGAAAATCGCTTTTCAACATGGCAATTCTTTCTACAGTATTCAAGAATTGACACCGGCTAGTCTTACGTCGTGACAATTAGACTAGGAAATAGGCCACTCTAATAGTCGTATTGAGATACAGCAACTTGTCTTCTTGCTAGCCTATAACGGAACTCGATATCTAAATGATTCTACTACATACTCGTATCAATAAGATGCCCATTTATTATTATCATCATCATCATCATTATTATATGCACTACATATGAATAAGATGTCCGTTCAAAATCTTTAAAATCATTCTACTGACAATATTAGAATGACCATCATCATCATTATACTACCTAGGAATAAGATGTCCATTTAAAATACCTGAAAACCATTCTAAGTATATATTAGAATGACCATCTTCATCATTATACTACCTAGGAATAAGATGTCCATTTAAAATACCTGAAAACCATTCTAAGTATATATTAGAATGATGATGATCATCATCATTATAATATATACGAGTAAAATGTCCATTTAAAATACTTAAAATCATTCTAGATAGCGAGGTAGCGTAAAATCTTTACATTAGACTACCAAATAGTAAGACAGGCTTGGAATAATATATAATCAACATCATTGTAATTACGGCTAGTGTATAAAATGAAGAATAAAGCTTCATTGTATACAGAATAAAATTAGAAAAATCAAAAATAATCCAAAAATATCTTTACCTTATTACAGCTGCTAAACTTTACATATCAGAATTACAATTGCCTTGATAAATTGCAAACTATCATCAAAAAAAGTTTAATAAGATATAAAATCGATATAAGCTATAAACAATGATACCATTGATACTGCAAAATTAATAATCAAATTCATGCAAGCTTGATCCCTTGCCAGGGCTGTTTAGAAATTCCTCAATATTATAGTTTTTATGTAATTGCTTGTAGTGATCGCTATCGATATCTTCATCATGATATTTAACGTGATACCATGGATTACTATATAAATTCTCTGCATCCCATGATGAATCCTACAAAATAAACATTTCAAGTATTGCATTGAGCTGGTACAACCTCAACTCTCATTTTTAATTAATAATCTCAATGGACTTACGTTGATATTCTTATTATCTAATTCTTTCCCCAATCTCTCTTTATCTAATTGCAACGACCTTGCTTTATCCTGTAGTAACTGATTTTCTTTCTCAATAATTTCAAATTGTGCAGTAATTTTATCCAACAGCATTCTATTGTCCTCTTGCAATTGCGATTTGAGAGTTAAACTACATATCAAATAGAAGACAGTAAGTATACAAAGACAGATAAGATTATAACCAGGCGATAAATCAACACAACGCCATTTCTCCTGCTGTACATTCATTTACAGTAGTATTTTCAAAAGGAGTATGCAAATATACATTCAAATATACCATGATTCAGACATTACAAATATCATCTTCGACTGTATTCTCCAATATAAAATGTACGCATAGATGCGCTCAAGTATATGATTTTATGCAAAAATTACTAAGCAAACTAAACCATTATTATAATTATAATATAGATTACGAATTTGCATCATTACCGATCTTCCAGTTGCTTCTTTTCCTCCAGTAAATGGCAAATAGCTTGCTGCTGACGAGCATGAATTGAATTAAATTCGCCTAATTTTTCATTATAAATCTCTAATTGATGCTCTAGGCTATGAATGATATTATCCAACTTTCCCCTTTCAATTTCATAGCTTTCCCTAAATTCAAAGATAAAGTATAACAGCCGTGAATTCCTATTGTCATTAATATCTACAGGAATGATGATTTCATACATATAAGCCTTCAATTCCATTGCTAATAACTTCAAATAATTTAGAATAGGTGCAAATACTCAATTTATCCAACGACATACCATACACCTTGATACAAATAGTACTCTAACAAATAAAAGCTACACTTAAAATTAGGGGATTTTAGGTAAAATTGTCAGTCTTCCTGCTATAGAATAAGGAAAACTCGTTACCAGATAGTATCTTTTACAGACTGTGTATTAAAATTATGAGATAAAAAGTCTCCAATTCAAATTTATCCATGATCTATTATGGATGATGGATATCATTCATGGATTACTTTCTGTTTTAAAAGATCTACTGCACGTAGTATCTAAAGTTTTAATTTTAGGATTTGCTGTAAGAGTAAATCATTGGGAAACTACTGTGTATATCAGAAATATGATGCGTATCTGGGACTAATGATAGCCTACTTAAGAAAGATTGATTATACTCTAAGATTATATATTACCTTTGCTCTTCCATTTTACCAATCAACTCCGTTATAGCATTTTTATGACTGTAGCCTCGAGCGGATAACTGATTACTTGCATCTTCAAAATTGGTCGTTAGGACGTAACATTCTTGCTCCATTTGCTTAATTTGTTGTTGGAGTACCGAAATGGATCCTTGTTTCTGATTTAGCTTCAAGATGAAATAAAGAAACCGATAAACGTGAATAAAATGATAGCGATTTTGCTTCATATTTCTTGCTCAAAGTAGCAGTATAACTACATCATTTCATATTGATGAATCTACAGTAAATTTTTTTATTCTAATTTAGTTTGTAATTAGTCCTGCACATGGATCTCCAGGCAACATTTAAATGATATCTAGCAAAAGTGACTACTATTTTATATGTGGTATTATACATTTTCTTCGCTATACTGAGTGATCATTGACTATAAAATTTTGCTTAACAGCTGCCATTTATTACCACTAACTCAGTCATAGTTATATCTCATTAGAAATGGCAAACGAGTACGTTAACATTTTACTCCTAACAGCAATAAAATTGAAAATGGCATATGGTTATCAGAGTAGGTATCCTTGACAATATCAACGTTATATAGCTTTGATAAACTTCTGCAATTCTATTTCGCCTCTGATGGCTATAAAATTCGCTGCATACGGTCAGTAAGCATCAAACAAGATACTCTCACTATAATTTGATTGCTATGAAATGATCGAATCCATTCTATCCTCTAATCTATACAAGTACTGGTCTAAAATCATTTAAATTACTATTCCACTATACCAAATTTTGTAGATTTTCTTTCTGGGCTTGATTTAATCTTAATTCATTTTGAGTAATATTAACAGATTTTTGTAATTGATCGATGATATCCTTGAAGTTTTTCTGATTTTCTTGTAAAAGCTTCACTTGCCGACCAGATTTTTTAACTTTCTCTTGTAAGGCATGTCTATATAAGTTAGTTGAAGAGAATATTCGTCAACAATTTTCATGATTAGATGTTAATTTAAAATACTTTTGTCATAACCTGACAGATTTTTCCTTGATTAATCTTTTCTTAGCTACTCTATAATGCTGTAATTTTATTTTGCATTTTTCAATCCAGCCAGTTAGACCTAAAATGAAACAACAAAAAGTGGACAATTACTTTAATCTTACGAATAATATTCATAGATAATGCATTTATGGTCAACAACTATCAATTCCAGATTATCTAGATAGTAGATAAAGGTGGACAAGCTTGTTATTTATATCTATGGTAAAAAGATAACAGTGCTTTCCTATGTAACTACTTATAATGATGTTCAAGGAAATTTTACCATTTTTTATGCGTTGTTCCTCCAAAAATTTCTCTTCCATTAATCTTGTATTTTTAATACTAATTTGTAACTAGAACAGCAAAAACTCTATTTAGAATTATCATCCTAAGAATATTATATGTATATATGTAACTAATGCGAAGTTCTACATCTTATGTTTGTATATCGATCCTTAGTATCACCTGCTTACAATCAAGAATATTTACCTCTTGCTCAAACCTTGCAACCTGTAATTTATGATTATCTAATTCTATCCTTAATTTTTCCTTATCCTTTTCTGCTCGTGCTGAACAATCCTTAATTTGCGCTAACGTTTCGTCCTATTCGCATAGAATTATCCAAAATTGAATTAAATGAGCTGTA